AATTATAAATTCGAAAGTAAATTTAAAAAATAGCGTTTGTAGCATCATCACTTTTTTCTACTTATCAATTTATGGAGGAGTTAATCAATGTGACTTTTAAACGATACATATTCATATAGCGGATAAAAAATTAAGTACAAAAATTCCTAAATAAAAATTTAGGAATAAAAATTTAGAAATTTTGATTGTTGTGTGTTTCGATTTTTATATGCCACCTCCTTAGTTTCATAATTGACACTTTGTTTAGTGTTTAGTTGGTACTAAAGTGAGGTACGTATTTAAAATAATTAATTTATTAATTAAAAATTCAAAAAGGATAACTTTATATATTGAATAAATATATTATAAATACTATGTATACTATATTGAATAAATATATCAAAGAGTACGTATTCAAAGGTGAATGCATTTTTAATTTATTTCATATTAAATTTTTGGACTTTTGATAATTTTAATAAACAGAGAGTTAAATAACTGTATTTTCTACCATGAAAAGATATATATATATATATAGTATAAATATAATGTAATAAGTAAACTGCAGATTTTGCAGTTTTAAATTTTTAGAAACAACTAAACAATTAAAACCTAAATAGAAATTTGTTTTATCTACTATATGTTATAATAAATATTCTACTTTAGATATTTTATATATTTTTGAGCATTATATGCATTGTTGACAGTTTTGCAATTTTAGTCTACAATTTTCCATGCATAAAAATTCACAGTCTACTAAAATCTCCTATAATTAATGAAAAAAAAATTCCAGTAGTAAATAAAACAAATTTTTATTCTCATTTTAAATTTTTAACCGCTTCTAAAAATTGAACAATACATAAATTATTGCATTTTCCTATTATATCAGTATATATATTTTCAAGTCATAAAAAAGTCACAAAAAATAAAGCTATTTATAATAAGTTTTCAGAATACTATCTTGTAAAAATTAGCAGTGAACCGATTTACACCAGCATGATCGTCAACCTTTCGTATAATGCTGACATTTTCTTTCTAGATAACCTTTCTGAAGATTATATTAAGCAATATTATATAATAATGAATTTTAATCAGAATTTATTTGTACGGAGAAAAAATAAATTAACCTATGATATAAGATTATCCAACGCAGATCAAACCTATGAAGTACCAAGTTACGAAATATTAAAATCCTTTAAATGTCAATTTAACACTCTTTCACACTTCTTACTATTATAGAATATTATATTAATTTTGAAAACTGTAACTAGAAAATTTAAAACAGCTTTTTCAGTTCATTTAAAATATTTTCCGTAGTTCTTTGTAGAAAAAAAAGTTGCAAACAATTTTTTTAATTAATCAAAAGTAATTATTCTGATTGACTGATTATTATTACATCTTACACATTACACAAAGTATACTTATATATATACTCGTATAAGCTGCAGTGACTTTAAATGAATAGGCTACCTTCAATGTGTGAAATTAATAACATATATTTTCTCGTATATTTTCTTTTTTAACAAAAAAGTGAAATTAAAAGAAAATTTGTAGTAAGTTCTTTGTTATACAAGTCTTGAAGAATACTTGTCTTTTCTTTTGTTTTGCTGTAGCTTTATTTTAAATGACCTTCGCAATAGCGAATTTGATATTTCAGCTATAAAGAAATACTAAAGATTTTTACACAATATTTTTACACAATATTTACTAGATTTTCTACAAAATATTCAATACTTTTCGCTCCAAATATTTTCATAAAGAATTTTTTTACAAAAAATAAGATATCTAAGCGGCAAATACAAAACCAGAGTAATCAGCCTAACGATTTAGCTGAGGAATTATATACAGTTAATCTATCCGAAGAATTGTTCAAAAAACACTCAAAAGACCTTCTTCTTCCTCAGTAGCAGGACACTGTATTAAAACATGTGCAGAGATGCTTATTGCTAAGAAATCATCTGCAAGTTACATCTTCTACAGCCCGATACCAATATAATGTTTTCATAGGATAAATTGTAAAGATCATTGAAAATAACAAAAAACATGCTTTATGCTATATGAATAGTTATAAGACAATCCTAATCTAATCCCATTTTAGAGAAAAGAAAAAAAAACATACAAATATCTGACTTTTGTAGATAGAAAGAAGATTATCCCATAGAAAGTAGTTCCATTCAAAAGTATATGCGTGAAATATTTTTTAAAATAAATTGTATAATAAATGAAACAATTCTAAACTAGTTGATCGCTACTTCACTGCATACGAACTAAATTTTATCGTACAAGATAATTTTAACCATAATCAGTCAATCACATTCAAATATATTACATACAGAGAATATTGTCAACAAAGAACTATGTTAAAAAAGTTAGATAAAATTGTGTTTTTGAGTTTTTATTTGGTATTATAATTCTTGGCTGAGTGAAAGATTATTATAGGGTATTAATATTTATTAATCTAAACAGGGACTACATTTTGTACCTAATTTGAATACACAAATATAATAGAAATTGAGCACAACTGAAAATTTATTTTCAGAAGCTTCAGCACTCCCGTCAAGAGGCACGATATGGAACTAACGAGTGTAAAGTGGCCAAGAATAGAATTGAATTAGGTACATGACTCTTCGTAAATAATTCCAATTATAGACGGTACTTTAAAAGAGATCATAGATTGTGACCACTCCTAAGTACGCACTGCAATGAGTCTATGTCAAGACAATTGAGACATGCTTTGAGACAACGCTTATAAATGAATGACATAAAAGTGTAACGAATGGATTTTTACATAAACTCATATTTTTAACAGTAAAATGTACGTAGTGTATAATGTAACGTATAATATCTATGTGTGTATAATGTATAATGTACATGCATAAATAAATTCATATGTTTAAGAATGTAATGAATATATTATACTTTGGACATTTTATATATTTCTTCATATTATGTGCATTCTCTTCAATTTCGAATTTTAAGATTTTCCATAAAAATGGAAATGGTTTTTGCTTATAAATACATTACTGATTTTATCAGATAAGATAATTAACAAGAAATACATATTTATTTTTAAGCAGAATGAAGAATTTTCATTTGAGTTAAATTATTCATATTCATTACTAGTGACAATTTTACTTTGTGACATCTATTTGTGACAAATATTTTTTTCTGAGTTTATAATTAATATTTTTCAAAGAATATATATTATATTCAAAGAATATATATTATATTCAAAGAATATATATTATATTCAGAGAATATTTATATATTCTCTGAGTTTATAAATAATAATTGTTAGAGTAGAATATAATATAACCTTCTCTTTCATGAATGATTATTCGACCATTTAAATTTTTTTCTTTTATCTTATTATAAATATACCAATTGTAATCTATGGTTATACAGGGTGTTTAAATGTTTAGTGTTCAAATTTTGTCAGTGTGTTCCATAGGCAAAAATAAGATTAAAATGTCATGTAACAAAAAGTTCATAAATATTTCATTAAAAATTTATAACAAAAATATGAAGTGTATGATAGAAGTGTATAATCAATTTCAACGATTGATTACTCGGAAAAGACCAATCTCCTGATCTCCTTATATTTTTAGATTGTTACTTACGAGAAAACATTCATAAGCAGACTAGCTTTGAAATTTACATAAAATGAATTGTTTACAAGAATCAAAACTGCATATGAAAAAATTCGATAATAAAGTCAATAGAAGTTTGGTCTACAATAAATTCAATAGTAATTCAATATCAATTTTGCATTGATAAAAGGTAACAACGCGCATTATATACATATCTACACAACTTCACGTTTCATATTTTTGTTATAATTTTTTAATGGAGCATTTATGGATGAATTTCAGTCTTACTTTTACCTATAGAATACCAATTTTGAGCAAAGTTTGAATACTAAAATTCGGAGCATTCTGTATAATATACATATGGAAAAGCCAATCAATGTAAATCTTTTTATCAGAAACGACTTGTGCCAAGCAAATATCCCTTCAATGTTAAAATCTCCAGTTGATGGGACAGTTTAATTATTACAATATAATCTCTATAACATAATCATTATTAATATATATAATCTCTATAATACAATCATTACAATATTATAACTATAAACACTGACCAAAGATTTTAAGAACGTATTTTATACAGCACAATAGAAAATGACTTACTTATATTGATTAGCTCCAGATAGCTTTCTATATGGGTCTGAATAAAGCCTGAATGGAAAACATTATTGATCGTCTGATTAACGTTACAGTGTAAAGAATTGCATAAACCTTTTCAAGTACACGAGTTAAGGATGTTTAAAATTGTCTCCGGTATGCTTTTCTTTCGCAATACTCAGTAACGCTTTGAAAAGTATAAGCATTGCACCGCATCCACACGTGAATACAGCAATGAATTAACGAACGACCTCGTTTCGATGTTGAATTTTCATGAATTCTAGAGCAAGGAAATCGATTTATCAAACTGCAATTTTGAAACATCCGAACGAAAATTTTCTATTTTTATGAAATAGTATAAGAAACCGGAAAGTTGCTGAATCTCTAAGAAAGAAGTCTAGTAATGAAGGAATCATTGTTTGAAGGAATTCAAAAATATTCACGTTTTCTTCTCCTTTTTCAATTAAACTTTTTTAATTTGGAAGTATCTTTTATGCAACTGTGTATATTTCAGGAGTTCATTACATACTATGGACAATGTAGACATACAAAAATGGGTCGAAAAGAGAGAATAGAATGTTTTTCATTTAAGGTTTCATTTTCGAGAAATTTAAGTTTAACAATTTTTCATATATACTTGAATTTAATTAATTCTGGATCGGACAGAAAAATGTAAAATGTAAAATTTGAAATAAATGTGAAATAAAATTTTTTCAATTAAGATCCACTTTATTTTATTCTTACCCTCCTGTTATATGTATTTTTCTGACATTTTGTAATATGAAGCTATTATTGATTACATTTACTTTTGAACAGCAAAGTATGAATGTCGTTACTTACTTGACAGTTAATTGTCTCTGTATAAGAAGTTTCTTCTCGATTTGTTCAATTGGAAATTGTGGAACTTCGTAGGGAGCAGATATCTCATTGGGCAATTCATGCGGCGCGAGTCTCAAGGAGGTCCCACCACCTGTTCCTGTTCCACCACCTTCCAAACCAAAAACTGGACTTTCACTCCCTGCAACGAAAAATATAAGATATTACATTTCGAACGTGAATGCCTCAACTCTCCATAGGTAACCTGGATCGTTTATGACTTACGACAGCTTAAGCAAAACCTGATTCGTAAATTCTTTCGTAACAATTTTTATTCATTGTAAACATTGATTGTAAAATAAAAATCATCAAGACATTGATACAGTAAAATGTATATATAAAAACATGATTTTTTAATTTTTTGAAAAGCTAGAGCAGTAAAAGGATTGAAGAATTTTCTTCAGAAAAATCTTTCAAATTGATTTGATTTAAAAATTGATTGTATAATAGTATTATACAAATAATAGTAAAGATTTCATTAGGTGGGCCAGAATTTTTTCAAATTTATTCAAAGCCTAGAATGAAAAGATTAGACGATTTCTTCGAAGCAAATTTTTGTTTTCTTGGCGAAATCTTTGACTTAAAAATTTATTGTGTAATATGCTATGGTAAAACCCCATTTGTAAGAGAGCAAATAGCTCGTATAATCGAAATCTTATTAATTCTTTCTTCTACCAATGATTTTTCATAATAAAAGTTCAGAACTCAAATAAATGAGTTTAATCAACGAAAGTTCATTTAATCATTAAATGACACTGATTAAAAAGTAAATGGAGTTTATATAAACAAAGTTCTACTGTAAAGACTTCATTAAGTAATCAAAAATTTTTTTATGTATTTTGAAAGTCTGGAATAACAAAAAATTTAAACGTGGACACGAACGACTCAGCTTTCCTGCGGAGGGTTACTTTTGTGTTAACAAAGGACTATCTAAACAAAAGACGCTTTTATTTCCAACAAGTTACAAATTAAATTCCACATAGAATATTTTCATCATAGTCATGAATTCTTTATAAGTAGAACAAATATGCACGTCTCATCCGGAAAATTACCATCATTTTTTGCTTGCCCCGTTTTCTGCAACCATTCCGTAACAGAATTGCGCTTATATCCAGTTAAATAGTCGTTTTCGTTACCCAGCACCATCGTGCAGTTTGTTCGGTGCGTCTAGAAAGATTTTTGAAAATTCTAGACACCCAATATGATATTATTTTATATAGTTTCTCTTGGTCGAATCTGTCGATCGTCTGTGATTATCGTATCTTATTTATTTATAAATAGAAATAAGAATACACTGCAGATAAATTCGAATTTGATTGGAAAGTTTCGAACAGATTTGAGCATTACACAAACTTAAATAACGATAAATATTAAGACGAGTTATTTAACTCTACCACCTGAAATTAATCAAAATTCATTTGTCATATGAAAAAGTATTTCAAACAGAAGTTGGATGGTATTAACGGAATCGTGCTTAATTTAGTGATTAATATCTTGTGTTTTTCCTTTACTCGAAACAAATTTTGCTTGAAACATTTTCTCATGTAGCAAATGCTTTATGAGTAACTTACTTATGAGTAACTAAGTGGCAAAGTTCAGGTGACTCACCTGATATATTTCAAAAACGACGAATTGAACAATATGTTATAATAAATAAATATATTACAATAAATTAAGCGAATTTTGTTCGAAATGAAGATGAGAATAATTTGAAATAATGAATCATCTTCTTATTTTTATTTCAAGAATGACACAGTAAAGTAAAAATAGCTATCTTATGTTCAAATCAAACAAATCGTTTACGATCACTTTATTTAATAAAATAATAGATTACTTGTTATTTGTTATTATTGTACTTAGATTATTTAAGTACAAGATGATACTTCATCTGGGAATCAAACAAGAATTTTTATCTATATATTATTAAAAAAAGCGAACAATAAATTAACTGTTAGTGATGATACAGTAGTTATTTTGATAATAAATCTTCTATAATACATTTATTTTTAGACATGTCTGAATAGATATGTGTGCGTGAGATAATAGAATCAGAAGATATTTGAGAAATTATATTTATAGAAACAAGATACAAAATACAAAATAAAATGAAAAATTATTTTACTTCAATCAAATAATAAAATAATCTAGAGATAAATCATTATCTTATTCAAATAAACTAACGCATTGTTTCAAGATAACATTAAATCAAATAAGATGATGTATTATTAAATAATCATTTTTCAAATATCTTATTCAAATAATATCAAAGCCTGATATATTATCTTATTTAACTGGATAGTTATCTGAAACAACTATGTTTTAGTTTATTCGAGATTTCTCTTTAGATTATTTTATTATTCGACTATTAAATAAAATAATCTCTTATTTCATTTTTTATTTCGTATTTGAGAAACTTTTTGGTAAGGAGAACCAATTTTTTTCATTTTCGAATATGTGATTTACTTTAATCTCATGTTAAATAAAATTATGTTTCTTAAGTCGTTTCTAAAAAAAAACAATAACGAGCTAACAAATGAACAATTGAAATGGAAATTAGTGAAATCAACAATTTAAATAAAATGATAATAAATAATAAAAAAATTAATTGAAATAATTTCTCATTATTATTTGAAATTGTTATTTTTTATTTTATTCCAAATAAAATGTGCCTTGAGTTCGATATATTCACTGCATGAAAAATAATATCTTCATCACTAACATTATCATACTATTAATATGCTGTATTTGCTTGATTGAAATTTAAAATATACAATAAAAGTAAATGAGTATATGTAATCAATGTCTCAATAAAAATAAACAATATGTATTATGTCATATTGAAATTCAATTTGTAAGTTGAGTTTACTTGAAATGCATTTTATAAATATTTTAATGAATGTAAGTAATAATTTCAAATATAAGTAAGTAAATTCATATATTTTATTCCGAAAGTGCGAATATTTTAGCGTTTATTGGAAACGTGTACACAAAAATGTGTAGAATAATACCCCAAAATATGTTAAGACATTCGTACATACGAATATGAAATGATATTTCAAACACGAAATATTCTTTTTCTAGTTCTGTTTATGAAAACATTTGCATAAATATTCACGAGCTATTTATAAGTATTTTTTCAACTAGAATTACAATAGCTTTTTGTTCATATTTACAATGTTAAAGTCAACTTAAATTGAAGTATTATTCTCCAAGATTCGAGTACTATTTTTACCCACCCAAATTTTTCAACTCTTTCTACTCTGGTTGACACGACCATAACAAAATGTAACATAAATAATATTTAATAAACGTTTATATCGATCATACAAAAGATTATAATGAAATATTTAAAACATATTTAAAACACGCAATATCTTCGTAACATGAAGAAAGAAATTTTTCAATATAACGTTTAACCTTCAAACAAGTACAAAAACTATATAACTCTTTCGACTTCGATTAATTCCTTATTTTAAAAACGAAAGCGGAATGAAGCTTCTCGAAATAGACGAAATTGGGAAATGCTGCTAAACCAGAAATTTATCCACTTCTGAATAATTCAACGTGATTAAATAAAACATAACGAAACATAATTAAAGTTTAATTAAAATTTCATTTTGAATTAAACGCAATATGATAATAAAAAAAGAAAGATATATATATATATATATACACGTATAATATTGTGTAGAAAGAAAGAATTTAAAAAGGAATTTAAAATAACGATATTTTATCGTTATCTTGATTTCTTAAAGTATAGCGTAAAGAATTTCGTTTTCTTAAGTATAACCTGCTGTCGTGACAAACAAAGCACATATCTCTCGACTATTGCTAAATGAAGGATACGAAGTATATATATGTACCACTGAATCTGAACACGATTCAAATCACGTATCCTACTTGTTTGCATAGGTATCATGATAGTATGAACATGTTGTCTTCAACGACCTCAAATGTTGAAGACATTACAAATTTAGTTAGACTTTATATCTTATTTAAATATCTTGTAGATATATATCTTGATTGTATAAATATTTTATACAGTAATTAAAAATTTCGTCACATGAACTATATTTTATATAAAGTAAATTGACAACAGGTACATTGACACGTATTTAACTGTGTACCAATATACCATAAAAGTTCCTAAAGATTTTTTCAAATACACCTCTAAATATACATAATTATATTTACATAAAATATAAATCAATGTGAAAAAAGATTTATTACGTGTAATATTACATTTCTATGTACACGTGTACGATAAACGTATTTGCCCGTTAAAAATCTGTATTTTTAAACATAACTTCATATTTAAAAGATAAGAAATAAAGATAATAGTAAAAAAAAAGATATTAAGTTATGTTGATAATATTTAGTTAATTTGTCTAACTAAAAAACTTCTCTGTCACGTTCAGAATCTTCAAATTCCCACGAAAAAATTTTGTCCTTTCTTTTCGACTCGTTTTTTTTACGTAGAATCACCTTTCACTCAGATGGTAACAATCTTTATTACTGGTTGCGGGACACTAGTTTACTACTAGTTATGGGACACTCCGTACATACGATGCTCGCCGTGAAAGTGTCAATAGAAGAGAATTCAATCTTATCGCAATCTGTGACCTATGTTAAGTTAACAAGACTGCGCAGTATCAATAGGACGAAGCGTGGAAAACAACGTGAGAAGAAAGAGCAACGACTATTTACATTTACAATTAGTCAAAGCTTTACTCCGTGTCCGCTTACCAGCTGGCATGAACGAGTAATTTCGCCAATGTACAATGCGCAGTCATAACAAATTGTCGGCTCACGCTAACAAGAGTGTGATGACCGACGGACATTTCGTTTTTTGCGCAGCATCACACCACGTTCAATTTAATCACGGAAGCCGTTATTTTCGTTCTATAAATAAGATTTCACGCACACACGTGTGTCGATCTACGAAGCGAAATGTGTAGATCCAGTTAGCGAAATTGGTGCTTTGAAATGGCTATTTCCAGGAAAAACGTCTGATTCGTGTGAGTCATCGGTTCGATTTGGTCGGTATCCAAAATTTAGAAATCGGACAGCAGATGTGATATTGGTGATAGATAAATTGCTTCAAATTATTCACATACCGTATTCAATTACAAATGACACATTAGAATATTTTAATATCACGAATAAAAAGCGAGCTATATGTATGAGTCAAACCAAATACCTTTCTTTGTCGCCTTTGGCTCTGTAACGCAGAAATATATATATATATATATATATATATATATATATATATATTGACAATGGCTAAAAAACATTGGTTTGGGAAACAGTTATACACACCAATAGAGGGCGTAATTTTAATGTTTGAAATAGTATATATATGAATAGTAATATATATGATATGATGACATAATATAATATGATACAATAAGCTTCTAATTCGTATCAAATAACAAAGATTCGGCATGTACTTATCGCACAGACGATCGACACTTCGAGCGTCTTGAAAAGCTTTACAAGTAAATACCACGGTTTCGTTCTTGTTTCGTAGCACTAATAACAATCTCTTCAATTACAGTACCACAAGAAGCTCAACTGTACACTGCTAAGCAGAATCGACACGAAACAGTCCTCCCCAGTATTTATTATGCAGAAGTACGTAAAGGAAAATTGTGCTAGCAGACTACGGAGATAAACAAGGCACTTTTCTAGTTCGTAGTTCAGAGGGCACTGACCACATTAACTGGTCGCGAGTATCGAATACACTGACTGTAGCATGGAGTTGGCACTTGGTAGACATCGTAGAATCGGTACGCGCAACTACACACTCGCGTGCCTACGTGCACGTCCCTACTACTAAACGTGTTTTCTCTGGTAGCGCCGTTAACGCACGTACGCCAAGATCGTGAAACAGTTCTTCAGAAGCATTAACTGATCTCGCGTTTTCTCGCGACGTACACGTTTATACCTTTCTATTAATCATCTCGGAAATTACATAATGATTCGAAGCTCATTTATTAATTGTTATTCAAACTAAAATCTAATAATACATGCTACGTTGTATACTGTACAAAAATGCGTAATTCTATTACATTACATACATATATCATAATAATTATATTACATAATAATAATATTATGATAATTATATCTTAATATTAATAATATTATGTAGTAGAATTATATTGTATTTCATATATACAAAAATTCCTGAAACATTTTACTTTAATATGACTCACTGAAAACTTTTATCGTGTTTTAGATATTTAATCTCGAACGACATTATCTTGAAAACTGATTTTTGTGTATCTTTTATTTATTAATGATGAATGACCTCAAAATACTGACGTGCTAAAATTAATATAAAATAATAACGGAATATGAATCATTAACGAAGCGTAAAAATAGCCCGTGTAGAAATAAGTCGAGCATTTATTAGGATTTCTATATGAATACACACATATATAATTTATTGAGCATAATTTCGTTTGACCTACATTCCTTAAAGCTATACATGTGGTATACATAAACTGTATTTGTTGTTTAAAATAAGTCCCAGTGCATTCGCAGATAAATACGTACAAACGAAATCAAACTAGAGTTTAAAATTAATACAGTATTAAATATTAGTATTAATGGAAATCTCAGTAAGAAACATTCAATATTATGATAAAACGATGTTATTTAAATAGCTACGTCATGAGATCAGTATGAGAATTTGAAACAGTGTTTAATTATGATAAGACATTATTAACAACTATTTTCATTCATTTTTTGTGTTTAACATGTATTTTAAAAAAACAAAGTATATTAAATAGATACACATATATTTTAAAAATAACAAAACATTTCAATGCTTGTGTTGTCAAAAGTATGGTTTATGATTACATTTTTATTGTAATCTGCTCTTAATAATATAATTGATTTATAAAATACTACAAGTATTTGTATAGTATTTATAATATATTATATAATGAAAGTATCTATATAAATCCTTGTAATATTATATAGAATATTATAGGATTTATATATTATATAATGATAATTTAGAATAATTTCTCAATTATTTGTACCTTATGTCATGCAAATTGAAATACATTATATTTAAATTCAAATATTCACTTCACTTTAAATTTTTGAGAAATATATTATATAAATATAATTAATTAATTTCTATAACTGAAAAATAAACAATAAAATATCACAAATGCCAAACTGTCCACAGTAAATTTTATTCAAAGTTTGATATAAAACTTACTTGAAGAGCTCATAGCATAATCACATAAGGTGCTTGTAATAAGATCTGATATTGATAATAAGACTGAAACAGAACAGATTAATTCTGTATAATTTATAATGGAAAAAACATACAAACACGAAAGAGTGGTATTACATAATGGTTCAAGTTTAGTTACATAATGGTTCATTTTAAAATTAAAAACTCTTGAACTAATAATAATTACCAGACTGCGGAGTTTTATGCAAATAATATGAAATATATGAAGTATTAAAAGTATAATGCCTCTTATAATATTTAATAGTTGATTCTTATGAAATTTAATTATTCTAATTTTCTTTAATCATCTTCATAAAGACTTACTCCATATTCTAAACAGTTGTAAGTATGAGTTTTAATAATTTTCATAAAGCTTTGTAAACTAATCATACGGTCTGTGAATATATAATATAGTTTTTTTGAAAGAAAAGCAACATCTGTTAATCTATATTACAAAATTCTATTAGCATAGTATATCTGCTTCATTAAACAGTGAAAGTGTTTTCCTAACAGCAAGATATATGTAGTTCGCATGATAACGTCATATTTATGAGTAAAAATATGAAACCCTTTTTTTTGGAAATTCACGAATCGAGTTGCGTGAATCAAGTCCTGGCACACGACCAGAGACTTTCAAGTGTCAGGAAAGTGCTTTTCATAAAGGAGATCAATAGAGATGGTTGGCGCACGTGCACACGGAATTTGAAAATTTTTAACGTGTCAAAATCGTACGAATCATTCTACCTATGTCTTACTTTTCATTTTAATTTCATTCGTCTTTGCCAAGAATTTAAATATCGTGAAATGGCTAAAAATAAAAGATTTTCTAGTAAAAATAGACATATCTTGAGACTGTACTTTTTCTGGTTTCACCAATGCGTCATAATGCACACATTTCGAGAATATTCATTCAAACGAATAATTCATACGAATAATTTCGTCACATCAATTTCGTAAAAAAATTACAAAGATACATTTCCCTTTATTTGCAATTTTTATTCAAATTATATTACTCTTGAAAAATCTCATAATTTATAGTTTTATAATGCTCTTAAATATCCAGATATTATTTCTTAATTCTAATATTATTGTAATAAATTTATAGACTGAACAGAATCAAAATTTTTTAAAATATATAATTTCCTATAATTTCCTATAATTTATACTTTCAATATTTGTGTAATATACATATTTATAAAATGATCCAGATTATTATTGTTTTATATAATTAAATAAAGTGAAAACCTTTGGTAAATCTCAATTCATGCTTCGAAGTTTAGTATGTAATACATACATTTGTGAACTATCCATTTCGCTAAATAAATAAAAGTCTTTGATTTTATATGTACATATATACATATATATATATATATATATATATATATATACATAGGTAACATATTCGTTCCCACCTTTTCTTTTTGGATGCGATTTGTAAAACGTTTTCCACGATGGTTTATGCATAATTAAATTCCTCGTATTAAATTATAAGTAGCCTTGTTTCCAGTTATCTAGTTGGCACTTCAAACACCTCTGCTGCAATTGCATGAAGTCAAAGAATGTAACTAAAATGTACAATTTCAATGATGATTGATACACGGTATATCGCCCGTTTCACAATAAATCAAATTATATTAAATTCAAGTATGTACGTCAGACACGTTAATTGCGAAATATCACGTAGAGAATTTCTTACTTCGAAACAATTCAACTAAAGATAGTCCACTTGATATTGTGTACACTTCAACCACACAAATGTGAATCGATTCTCATGGAAAACTCCCCGTTTCCTCTAGTATATAAAGATAAGAGCCTGATACGGGCAAATTGCACGTATACACATACTAACCACATGAACGCAAAATAATATGCGCGCATGTGTAAATATATAAACCAGCGATAACGTATCACGTTTGATGTTTAAAGAACTGCTGTCAATGCATATCGTCGTTTTAACTTAAACATAGGTAAAAATAATTGTTTATATATTACAAATCTGATTTTTACGACACTGTACATAAAAAAATACACGTATCAACATGGAGAATTGAAAAAAACGAAATTCTTTCAATGTCACAAATTTTTAAAATATAAATAATGTATAAAACAATATACTATTTTTAAAATATATAAAATATATATAAAATAAAATAATATACTATAACATATTAATATATTGAATCTATGTAATATTTACAATAATATATACAAACATATATAAATAAATTATAATTTAGATAATAATAATTTATAATTATATATATACAATTTATATTTATATATATAAATTGTATATATATATAATATTAAATATTAATAATCTACATATATGTTACTATATGCACACACACACACACGCACACATGTGTAATATTTATATAATAAAAATTAATAATACAAATGAAAGTAGAAATAATGATTAACTATGCAATTAACAATATCAAATAACAAGGACGAAACGATACAAAAAATTTTGTATTTCTCTTTAACTGTATGAATCATCAATGAATCGTACAAGTTAGAATGAAAGTAATAAGTGATCATAAATGAATTAACACATTTAACACATAATTGTTAGTACATAGTTAATACCTCAATTTAAAGTATGTCGATTTACCAAATTTTAACAAATAATGTATAACGTAAAATATAAATATGAAACTTGTAAAACTTGTTTTCATATGTTTCGTATAAATAAAATTAAAATTAATAAAAGTCTCGAAGTTTAATACCAAATGAAGAGCATGTAATAAATTTAGAATGCATTTATTTCTAAACATATTGAACATTTGACATGTTTATTTATTGTACATGTTTAGTATATTGAAGTATATTATTTCCTTCGAATCTGTAATAAATAATTTCAGATTAAGCTGTACGATAATACAGACTCTATTATATCTTTATATTGTATACTTTTTTTTTATATCTTCGTTTTCACACTTCTAGAAAAGTCTGAATAACAGCTTTTGTTAAAATAGTTACTCATATTCATGATCATGAATTGGTCACATGTTACTTCTTTATGAGAAGACGAACGAAAAATATAATCACACATTTACATTTATTTTAGTATTTTGTATTAACTCGGTACATGTTATAAGACAAAATATGAGATAACATTTCATTAAAAGAAGAAAAAGAAAATATAGCGAAGTTTCAAAATTGAAATATGAAACACATTTTTGTCCTCTGTTTCTCTTAATAATTTTTACTCTTTTTTTAAATAATTAATTAATTAATGCATTTCAAAATCTGTAATCAAGACAAACATAAATATAAAAGCGTATAAAACACAAAATCAGAGACAATACTTGTTCATTTTTTTTGTCCTTGTATAAATTTTCATCGATGTAGATGAATTTTTTGTAGATCATTGCAGACATTAGAAAAAAAAAGTGCTACTTCTTTGAAATTTGCATTCTGAGACACGTTTAACAAAATATTGAAGCACGATGTTATATTAAATAATATTAAAATATAAATGATGTTGTACATATTTTCTTTGCAATTTGTACTGCAAGACATTATTAAAGTATTAAACATCAATATAAACACACTGTTCCTCACAGATGTAAACATCATTATATAACAATTTCCATTAACGTTAGATGTTAAATAATCAAGAAGAGAAAAAGACTCAAACCTAAGTGAATCGAGCAGCTTGAACATGGAAAAAGAGATCAATGTTTACCTTCATCCTCGGGGTCTATGAGAAAGTTCGGTGGTCTCAATAGGCAAAGGAAAATTCCGTCGTTTTCCGTCGAAGTGACACCTCTACTCGACATGACTCGATTTACTATTCGACTTCACTGAACTCGACTTCAAGTTGCACTTGCGATGCAAATTCGACGTACGTTCTAAAAATTACAAATATTTATACGTTCTAAAAATACAAATACATTTACATAACACGTTCGAAACAAGTACTTCCACGTGAGAAAAATTTCCTACCTTCGCCAATCTTCTACACGTTTCGCTGCGAAATACCGAATACTCCTTCGGCTTGGCTGTTACGCGCTGTTCGGTTAACAACTGGATTTTACATCCGGGCGTCAATGTTAACTAAGTTTATACGATGTTACGACATAAGCGTGCTAACCGTTTTATTCGACGCTCGTGCAAATATTGCTCGTTATCCGCCAAACCACGGAGAGACTATTACGATTTAATACTGAACCATCGATATGCAGGTACAGTCCAATGACTTTAAATGATAAACACCAATGGATACCTATAGATTCGTACATTGACTATTCACAATATGGAGGAATACAAAAAATCGTCGTTCTCTCAAATGAATCGAGTAATCACTGTCGCAAAAAAAAGAAAGAAGTTGTTGCGAGAGTTGTCTTCTTGTCTCTCCGTGCTAAAAAACTCGCGGAGACGGCCTAACCAGACAGAAGATGTTCCGCACGACGGCAAAAATACTATTCGGTATACGAGAAGGCGAGAAAGAGGACGGCGTAGAACGCAAGCAAAATGTCAGGCTCTATGCCAAATTTCAAAAACGTTACCTACGTCGTACCGCCATCATGTATAACGACTTCATACTCGATATTCGAAAACAATCGTATCGCCCCTATCGTTGTTTGCAAAGTAAACGTAAGTTTGTTCACAAGTTACATAATTTTATCAATGGAAAAATTATCGGTAATTTCAACTGATATAACTTCGTAAGAAAAGATCATATGAAAGATCCATTTGGTCTCACTCTAAAGCGCAAAGCATCTACTTTAAAGGGGTATTTTGGTAATCCGGCTTGAAAAAATCGACTTTTCTTAAAGTACATGCTTTCGAAAATGTCTAAAAAATGTAAAAGGATTTGTTTGAATTGGTAGAATTAGCAAAGTTATAGATGTTTAAGGTGTACTGCTCGCAACGTAAGTATGAATATTTTTGTACAACGGGTAACAAAACCTTCGAATGTGTTTTTCTCAAAAAATATTTCAGTTTATAATATTATTATTTATATTTATATTTCAGTTTATAATATTATTATTCACATTTATATTATTAATTCTTATACCGTTGTTATTTTATATTTTATTTTTGGTCCTGCTCGATCGATTGTTATATGTTTTTTCGTTTAACCCTAATAATTCAACATTCAATGAAACGGTGACAAAAGATCGTACAAGTCACTGTAAAGGGAATGTTTCAATTAAAACGATGATGGATACAGTTAATTTTAATTTTCGAGGAAAAAAAAAACATCCTCACTCTTCCACTTGCTGTAAAATCATTGTGAAAAAAAAAAAAAACGAACTCACGACTGTCAAAGTAGATTAAAATAAATATCCGCGCTTCAAGATAAGACCAAGTGGATCGTTAAATGATCTTTTTTCATGAAGTCATGTCAGTATTTAAATTATCGAGAATTTTTCATTTGATACAGTTATGTTCTTCACTGCATGTTAATTTATTGATATTCTTGATTATTATATTGAAGAATTGAATATTCTTCGAAAAAGATCCGCAGTGTTTATTTTAATAGGAATGCGCGTACAATATTATAGTAATTGTACAATAATGATAATGAATATAATTGTGTTCAATATTATTGTAATTATAGAATAATGATAATGTGCAGGTTGCGATTGATTTCATGTACCGACGATAATTAAAAATATTTCAGACTTGAGATTTTCTCGAACGTGATTATTATTTTTTTATTTTTCCTTTTCTCTTTTTTTTAATCAAATTGTTTATATTTTCATGTTCATATTTCGATACGATTACTAAATGGAAAATGTTTCACACCTGAAACCTTTTCACATCTTTATAAGCAGATATTCAAACGCATGAGATTTTCACACAAACGACGTTATTTCCTACGTTTCTTTTTTTCTTTCTTTTTTCAGCAAAGTCGTTTCTGTTTCGTTTTGTGATATGCAACAGTTCTACTATAAACAAACAAACGAAATAATAGTAATTTTAATCGTTAATGACACGTACGATGAATAATTACGTATAATATATGTATTTCTAAAAACGATGTATTTGTGTACTTGTTCAAAAGTGTCGCACTAATTGACGAAATAACCTTGGACGAGAGCATAAATAACTATTTCGTTCATTTTCTAATACTTCAATGCGTCGTACAAAGAAAAGGCTTGTACGATGAGCGAATCATTTGAACGAATCGTTATTAAGTATTCAAGTATTTTATTTTAATAATTATAATGTATAATTATTAATTTATTTATATAGATATATATATATATATTGTATATATGTATATACGTATATTATTATTATTATATATTATAATTATTTATAGCAATAATCATTATGAAGTATTCAAGTATTTAATTTTGTTTTGATTATTAATATTTAATAAATAATAAAAAAAACAGGAAAATTTGTAAATTTTGAAGTACTCTTAGATTCTTTATTTAAATATAATAAGTTCCAATTTATCTTGTTAAGTAATGCCACAAAAATTTTGTACGCAACATAGTCTGATATCCTCGTGGCCTTGACGTCATTTCGCGTAGAATGTTCACCAATTTAGTCATTAGCTAACTGTTCCTCTTTTTATATCGTTTCGTTTAATATACAGCTTTTCATTTCGTGTTTTGAACGTAATATTCAACTCAAATTTTTAATAAACGTATTATTCTGGTATTTAGTTCCAACTTATACATAGAATAATAATGTTTAAAGCGATTTATAGAATATTAAAGAATAATGATGTTTAAAGCTCTAAAGTTTTATATTGTCGAATAAATTGATTCCTTATAACAAAGAATATAAATAATATAAATAATAATACGTAATGATAAAAGTATTATTATTATTTAAAGTAACAGTTTCATTCTTAATATTTAGCCCCGTTGTTTAATCGTTAAATTTTTAACAATGTTTCTCGAAACAATGTCATTTTTACTCTATTTGTTGAACAGAAACTGACGCACTTGCTGGCGCAGAATGTAAGATTTAGCTTCATTCAAAGTTCCTTCTTTATTTCTTTGAATGTTACTACTAGAGTACATATTGTACATATAGATACTTTTACAATCAATAATAAAATAATTGGTTTATTTATTAGAGATTCAAAGAGAATAATAGATTGCAATATATATATATATATACCAAAGACTGCGGATTATTAAATGTATTTATGCGATATTTAAAGGTGCAAATACACCACCAGAACGCATAAAGTATATAAAAGTATACAAAAATATTGATCGAAACTTTTCTATATTTTTTTATTCACATTATTATATTGCATTCTTCCTATTTTGCATCTTCTTATTTCCCATAAATGCGTAAATGTTCTAATTTTCAAATTTGCCAGGGAAGGTAATATTCGAGGCATATCTCGCCAGAAAAGGAAGTGAACAATGCGCGTTGTTCGTGATGCCGGATGAGGATGATCGATGCAAACGACACGGTTGAAAAGTAAGCACGACAGGAGGAATGATAATAGGATAATTTTTCAATTTGAACTATTTTTAAACTGCGAGAACACCCATTAACCGGGGCGCGTTGCCCGCTATTGAAACGAAGTAAAATAAAACCGGTCTTTAACGTCGCACGACGGATATTATCGATTCTTAGAAATTTAACTACTCTTGGAAACGTAACAATTTTCGTCCCTCTGTTTACAGACGTATTATTACAGGCACCGAAAGCTAAATTGCCGATTTTCGAAGAATAGTCGATATTTAAACTAACTACTATACACGATTTCGTAAAAAGAAATCGTGCAACGATCAAGACTGAGATTACTTTTAAAGCTCGATGTCTCTACTTCCAAAAGTGCATTTTATTCCAAGATGTTTTCACAGTATATAACAATATGAGAAAGTGAAGACACTTTTTTTTAAACGGTCACATTATGTAAAAAATCGTTGAAACATTTTTTTCATGATTGAATCCATGTTGGATTTAAAGACAGGCCGTACAGCGAGCTCCCCTTTACAACGATCCTTCAAAAAAAAACTTGCTACACGTTTTTCTTTCTCTTTTTGTCAATTTATTGAGCTTCAAATATTAGGCTTACAATTAGACGACAAAAATTCAAGAATTTACGTCTAATATTCAATGAGTCCATGTTGATTATTATACGATTTCTTTACGATTATTGTACGAAGTTATAACAATTTAAATACCGATTTTTTTTTTTTTTTTTGGACATCAGGAATTTAATGTCTGAACACTTTCATCTAATGATATTTTCAAAATTTTCAATTTTCAATAATACCTTTCAAACGATAATAAATATTTTCTGTTCGAGCAAGAAACAGATAAAACTTATGTTTTTACTGGCATGATTTCTCGTCTTAATTTTGTATTCCGAGTTCCCTTGAAATTTTTCTCTTGTTTACTAAAACGAGAGTAAGATTGGAATATAAAAATTCAAGGACTTGGGGTTAATCTTATATTACTGCCAAAGAGGCATGCTCAGCCGCATCTTGGACGAGCTAAAATTACAGCATCGTATTTAACAAAGTGTAGTTTACGCCTCGGTGATATTCATACAGCAAAACACGTAACAAAAAAAATACCGCCAAAGACTGAAATGTTTTACGGTAAACAAAGTGCGACTAATAATAGCACAGATGCTTCGAATTTTCTGTTCAACAGCATGCAATGTGCAAAAATTTCCGGTTAAACGGATTTCTCATTTTATATTTTGTAAACTGATATGTAACTATACAGATTTTAACAACCACACTTTGTCAATTAATTTTAAACAAGTATCATACGAGATACACATTTTTTTGAAAATTTTACGTTTTTCTGGAACAATACCATAATGTGGGGTTGCAGGCGACCCGATCGAATTTTTTTCAATCTGCAAGCATTTATAGAAGAATGTCTCAAGACGAATAGTATAACCGAGTAGGACGTGATTCTGCATGGAAAAATGAGTCGAAAAGAAAGAAGAAAACTTCACATCAAGTATACCTGAATTTGCTTTGTTTCTGCAACATCTGCATTTGCACATCCAATCTAATTTATCATTCCAAACTTCTACGGAGAATGGAAATTCTTTTCCACTATCCTTTGAAATTTTAATAACTTTTCTTTCGCTACTTTTAATATCGCTAATTATCGAACGTTTTATCTTTTAATCTTATCTTTTAATAAGTGAAATTCGTAAGGAAATATAAAAATGTAAATATAAATGAAACGTACATGTAAATTTACATCAGACTTGAACAAGGTATTAAATTAGGGCATTTAATCAGGTGGAATACGTGTCCCAAAATATAAACGTCACTAGATACGTAAATATATACTCAGATAATCAACTGTTCGACTGCTTCTCTTTTGCTTCTATTTTTTAACACGCATAATCTCATTAATTTATCTACATTTCAAGCAAGAATTTAGAATAATTTAAATTACGAATAACGAAAATTAAGAAAATGTCTAACATTGGAGGGTTGCGTTACTAGGACGACTAGAGACCGACGTAACTAAATAAAAAAAAAAAATACAAGCATATATAACATTATACATATTATTATTACATAAATTATATATATTACAACCATTAACTGAACGGTTCTTTTTAAATTACTTATAGGTATTATCGTGCAATGATACGAAATGATACAAATGTTATAAAACCGTAACAATAAGGGAAGACTAAAAGTTATGAATATATTTCATAAAAATCACGATATTACAGTAGTCCTGAAAATATATTCTAAGGATATCGGGATATCGAATCAAAAATAGGGACGAATCCCGAAAAATCAAAAAGTTCGGTCATTCTATGCATTACCACTCTTTCCCCTATTTATACTTAGAATAAAATATAAAGATGATTACGTATCTCTATACAAAATTGTAGAATATATGACGATTGCACTTTAATATTATGGTTTCATAATTTAATTTCAAATTATAAACGTCCATGAAGCTAGACAAAATTTATTTAGGATACTAAATAAAGTATCACAGTGAAACTTACGATCACGATGGTGGTCGACATTGTGCGGGGTTGTCGAACTATCGGCATCACCTTCGCCATCTATTTCGTAGTAAATTCTATTGGTTCCGCCATTATCATCCTTCACGCCATTCACACCTACCAGATCTTCCATTTTTCTATAAACATGTGTTTTGATTTTTTTTTCTGTATATAGTTCACTTTCAATTTACACACATTAATATTACTATCAGTAAGATACGAATTCAATAAAAAAAAAAAAAAAAAACTAAAAACCGTATGTTATTGACAAGCAAAACATAAGTCTAAATTTATTTGAAATTTGAATAAACATGTACTCCCGCCCATAAGTATTCGGACACTTTAGTTTAAAGCAAATTAATAGTCAAAAGCAATATTTCAATTAATCCAAAATTAATTTAATTAACAAAGTACATCAATTAATTGAGTGTAGTAATTAAGTATATTAATTAAGGAAAGTATACATACGTATAAGGAAATAAATAATTCCAATAATTATATTTTATTATTTCCAGTAATTACCATCTATGATTGATCTATAGACGTTTAAATGTAGTTAAACGAATTTTTATACAAATTGATATTTTTGATAATATAATTAAAAAAATAGAAATTTGGTAAAAAAATTGTTTTACATATATATATATATATATATATATATATATATAACGTATATATATTTTAATATTATTAGCATTAGAAAGCATTATATTTTGGATATTTTTTTCATATTAAGACATATATCTTGTGCAATATTGTATTTAAAAATTTCAAAATTATCGTTTAAAATAATATAACTATAACTATAATTATATTTAAATAATTTAATTATTTTACATTGTTTTATTTTTAAAAATAACGACTGATATTAGTACTTAAGAGTACAAAAATTTAGAAATTGTAAGTAGATGTACATTTTAATGTTTTAAATTTTAAAGCAAGTAATTTTTTATAATAGATGTTTTGCCTGTAATTAGTATTAAAGATGCGAAAAAAAACAAATAAACATTATAATTCAAATACAAGTGTTCCATCTAAATTTACATAATTATCTCTTATCATTTATTGTTCTATATATATTGATACAAGTTTTATTTAGATAAAGTAATTTTAATTCAGTTCATTTCTTTAAACAAAACTATATATTTTTGTTTAACTATATAATTATGTAATGATCGATTGATATATTGATTTTTCAATGTCTTTAAAAATTATCTATCATTGTTTAAACTCTTTTTTTCATTGATCATACATAAAAAATGTTTTGTTATATTATATATTTGCAAGGACGATCTTTAATACCAATACAGTGACTTTTGTCCCTGAATGATACTTATACCTTTTCAAAAATTACTCTACTAATTCGTTGGCAAAAATCCCAGATATAAGTATTATCAAGGATACTGGTTTCATGAAAATCAAATATCTTATAAATATCCACTAAATAATGTTTATTTTATAATGACTCATTAAAAAAAAAAAAAGAGAAAATACAGAAATGTCAAATCTAAAATTCGCGGCAAGGATATCCTACTACATATTTCATATTCAATGACTACAAAACGTGTTTGATATTCATCAATAATTATTACGAACAAATAATTATACTGGAATCACATTCGCCCGGTAGCGAGTTAAATATATTTAGTAATATTTCATAATTAAAATTTTTTTTTTAATATTTTAGAGTTCATTAATAAGATTATCTTGAATTGACACATTAATATTACGAATAGTAGCTGTAATATTAATAAAACTAATAATTTTAATGTAGCAAAGTAAAATATCGTAAAGTAAAGTATATAGATAGAATAAAAATATTAATTAATAGTAAATAAAAAGTACATTGAAAGATCAATATATCAGAAATCAATATTCGACTTGGAGTTCATTACATGTAACTTCAAAGTATTCTGAAAATTTTGCAGACACCTTCACATAAATAAGTAATAAATAAATTTTTTCATTTCCAATAACAGTTCGGTAGATAATTACGTGGGAAAATTTAAATGGAACACTGCATTTCTACCGCATAAAATAAAATGACAATATATTGGTTCGTTATTATTCAATTCATTAACAAAAAAAAAAAGACGCATAATAGTATTAAAATACGATGATTCTCTTACATTTCCGCTATTCTCAATGCTTAGGAGCAAAATGTCAGCGTGTGTGTTTGTTCCTCTGCTTGAATCAAGAATAATGTTTTGCCAGATATGAACGAGTTACAATAGAAAATTACGTGTATGCATTACACACGTTGGTCAAAATAATCACAGAACACTGTTTACTGAATATCTGTTGTTCGAATAAATGTATACATTCATCGAAGCATTTCCAATTTGCCTCTTAGAATAACTTTCTATACAGATAATAACAAGGTCACAAACGTCGTTTCAATGATCTGTATGAAAAAGAAAAAGGTCCGTATACATGTATTACTGTTGCAGGACCACTGATTTGTAAAAAGTATGAGAGGAAGAACTTTAATATTCAATGATATACGAAATACACTTCTTTATAAAAAAGAAAACACCACGATTACGATTTCCGGCACGCTGGAACGTGCTGTTAGCTACCGACTGTCACTGCACGTTTCAGCCACGATGCGTCGTATAGGATCGTATCTACCATCTCGGGGACCTTTCTGTAAACTCGACGAGCGATTTAAAAAAAAATTGACCCAAACGGTGAAAATAACAATAAACCTGAATTTGCTTACGATTGCGACCCTTTGTTTTGTCTCAATTTCACAATATATTGATCTTTTCTTAAAAAAATCGGACGTACATACGTTTTTACAGTTTCAACGACCGTAATGAAATAACCTCATTTCTAAACGTAAACTTTGCTTGTTTATTAACATATATATAATGTACAAAATACACAGAAATAATAGGTAATTTTTTTACAGTAGAATACATATAATAAATGTATTACAGTTTCAAAGTATTTAAATTTATTGATAAATAGGAAAATTTTCTACTTTACTGTTCACTGATTTTAAAATGAATGTCATTTGAATCGTTGATCGTGAAAATATCGGGTGTACGATCGACGTTAATGCAACAGCAAAATATCTCGTAATAATGTAAAATTTTTCACCTGTAACCTTAAAAGTAGTTAGCAACAAGGGAAATATACGGCAATGGGCACGATTGGTGGAGTGGCACGGTAGCAACGCGAAGTGCGTCACATGACCGGCGCAGACTCGCGACAGTCGATCTTGCGAAAATCCATATCGCGCGACTCACCATCGTTGATGCATCTTTTAAATGTTTCGAAAGGACACGATATATATATATATATATATTATATCGTTGCATAAAATTCGAAGGAAACTGATAATTATAAAAAAAAGGAAATTTCTAATTGAAATTTCTAACCTCTATTTCTATCAAATCGTGACTGCTAAGATTCGAAAGATTAATTAGTCTACAAATCCCTATTTATATCTCGAAACTTATACATATGTATATATACCTGATATACATTAAAACTACGGACAACAGCTTTGAGATAAAAATTCTAAAAATAGTATGTTCTCCGACAATAGTTATAAAAATAATAGTTCCTATCAAACGAAATGAAAACAACGACGAAAGTAAAATGTAACAGGAACGATCTTATTTTTATTTTCTTTTTTTTTTTTTTTTTTTTGTTTCTTTTTTGAAATCCGCTACGTAACTTTTTATTACGTTGGAATTAAACTTACATTGTCTGATGTATATCTAGGCGTAATATCACTTAAACGTGCGTTGAGAAATATAACGAGAAAATATTTTTATACTGGAATACATTTCATACAAATCCCTCCTTAATTTCTTGCGTTTCAATTGAAATTATAATCACTTTCTGTGTTCGAAACGTTTCTTTCGATCGTGCTATCCGTATCAGAATCCAACAAAGATTTAATTACAGCTTTCTTTTTCTTCCCATTTTCGGAAACCGACGTCTCATTTTTACTCTGAGCCGTATCAACTTTTCCCTTTGCCTCCTCGTGTTTTGGCTCTCCTTGCAATTCCTCATTCGGTTTATCTTCTTCTTGCACGAGCTCCGCCCGATTAGGATCGTAATCGGAATATGAAAAAGATTGATTTACATTGGGATCGTTTTCTTGATTGGAATCGTATTGTTGATCATAAGCGTACGCGTATTGTTGATCCGTGTTTTCCTGATACTGTACGTTCGGATCGTGTTCATACTGATTTTCAGAACCGTATTGCTCACCGGCGTATTCTCCGTATTGTTCGCTCGACCCTTGTACATATTCTTGATTAATATATTCTTGATATTCTTGGCCTTGATTATTTTCGTAGACGGTCTGTTCATAATTCTGATCTCGATCGGTTTTATAAGACGCGTTCGGATCGTAATTCTGCGTTTGATCGGCATCATACAACGCGTTTGAATTGTAATTTCCATCTTGATTCGCTTCGTACGCAGCATTTGGATCGTAATTTTGTTCTTGGTCAGCGTTGTATGACATATTTTGTTCGTAATTCTCATCCTGATTGTTTTCGTACGATGCATTTTGATCGTAATTATATCCCTCGTTCAAGCCAGTATACTCTGTTTCATAATTTTGCGCATAATTTTCAGCTTGATTAGAATCTTCATAGTAATTTTCATTACCATATTCGTAATCTTGTACATCTTGTTCGTTACCTTGAGCTACAGCAGACGTAACATTAATTTCGTCAGCTTCTTGTTTCTGCTCATTGTCAAATTCATTCTGTTCATTAATCTGATCTCTCGCTGGTTCTATATTCTCAACAATATTTTCGTTGGTCGTATAACCTTTATCTTTTTCATCTTGCGAGATGGAAATTTCACTTATTTTGTTTTCACTTGCAAGCTCTTCTTTTGACTCAAGACATACGATATCTTTTTGTTCTAATCCGATATCCGAATTTACATCTTCTCCATGCGTGCCTTCGTTAGAATCTTTCTTATTCTTTTCATTTCCCGTGGTTCTCATTTCATTCAAAGGTTCAGTTTGCTTTACATAATCTTGACTTGGAGTGTCAGTAACAATTTCCTTCTTATCAAATTGATTTTCAGCTTCATGAATTAAATCTACTTCTTTTATTCGCTTCTGCAGAACATCTAGATCCCATGGTTCTAATTCTTCTGCAATATCAAACCAATACTGATCAAGATTTGATTCTGCCGCGATATAAACGTTTCCATCTTTTTCATCGTACTCTTCTCTTTGTATATTTTTGGGCGTAATATTCTTAATGTCTTGTTCCACAACTTTGTCACCTGATGGAACCATGAAATCAACTTGCTCATCCATTTTGGGTAATTTTTGTTCATAGTGCTCTGATGTATCACTCGGATTTTCCTTCCCAGAATTTTCAACATTTTGATGTGAATCTAATTTTGTCTCGTGTAATTTAATATCCTCGCTAATTTCGTGTTTTGCAAGAGCAGCTAATGTTTTGCGATCGTTGCGCGTATCCGAAAATGCAACGTAGTTTCTTTCTAAAATCGGTGTACCGTCTTTCGCGGTTTGAACCAATTCGACACTTCTATTTTTATTCGCGCGTCCTTTTCCAGATTCGTTGGCAACGTCCAAATCCACTGATCTAGATGCAAGATCGTCCGCTAATGCTAAAACCTTCTCGACTTCCTTGGGAAGATCTTCTTTCGATTGATCTCCCGTAGGAACCTCCGACAAATTATCATCCGATAAAGAAACGTCAAGCGTATTACCACCGATATAACGCTCCTGTTCAATCTCCTCTAAACTTTGCGCATCAAGGTCACGATGAAGTCTCCGAATCTTATCTATGTACCTGTCTAATTCGTTCTCTACGATCGTTGTTGTTCTATTTTTTTCTTGTTCCACAGCGGATTGTCTCGCACTCGGCCTCTGAGTATTAGTTTCTGGTGTAAAGCATTTATATCGTCTCATCGTGTTGTCGATACCGGAAGTTACTAGCGGCCGTACAACAGAAGCACCGCTAATAGATTTATGCCTTGATCTGAAATGATCGGGTTTCTTCCATGAGTAATCGAAATAACGCGGAGAAGCTTGTTTCGATAAATTTGCAGATTTGTTCAACGAGGGCATGCAACAGATATTTCGTTCTATAGGTGTGGATATGGTATAAACTGAGGACGTTTCGTTTGGAAATGCACCGACGCATCTTGTCTGTGTTTCCATATCGTGTAACGAAACTTTGTTACTTTTCTGTTGAAAAGACTGCACATTTGATGGACGAACATAATCTAGAGTCATTGGAGCAAATCGATATTGAGATACATTCAAAGACGTATACGGCGATATATTACCATTGGTATGTTCTGGAACTGTAAAATGCGACGCAGTTGGCGATATTTCCATCCGTTGTGTCAAGGGTTTATTGAAGTTGTAATGCGAAGAAGTTTGTTGATTCAACGAACATAATCGACCTGATGACACACGTGGAATATGCAAATGTGGATCGATTTGAACGTACGATTGTTTTTGTTCAAAATTTTGTAAGCTCTGCGTCACTGGTTGTTTTATCATTTCATTGTTTTGTGAAATCGACGGATAAATATTCTTGTTACTTATTGGTTGACTTGAAATTCTGGGTTGCGTGTTATTTTGTTGATAATAATCGTTACACGTATTTTCCGCTGATTTAGTTGACTTTGACTTTGACTTTAATAGAGAAATCGATTGACTTTTATGACCGTCCAACCACAATAATTGAGATGATGAAGTATTTTCTACATCAAGAGAAATCTGTTTCGCGATAGCGTCTCTCCTTAAATATTTATCTTCGCTTGGATTCGTTACATTGCCGCCATCAATAATATTCGTCGACGGGCTAGGAACTGTATATATACGATGAAGATAAGCTTCATATTGTTTCTGAAAAATAACCAGATTTTCCACATTGCAACACGTCTTTTTAATCGAACATGTATTTCAAATAATAAGGATTTCATATTTATATAGTCACATGCTGTGCACTCAATGCGAGTTGTGCATTGTATGTACAAGTGCTCTCAAAGAAAGATAAAATTTTACACTATGAAGTAACTCATGCTAAAAAGCTTTTGCTTAACCAATAAATAATAATGTATAAAAATAAAACATTTGTGAATTTCGAGAAATTATTAAATGTTATAACTACATATAATATAATGACTCATAAAAGTATTTATACACTTATCGTATTATAAAATTTTTATATGTATATTAATATACATATAAAACATTGTCCTATAAAACATTGTAAATTATATGATAACAAATTTGAGTAATTACAGCATTGAAATGTTTTCTATAACATACATAATTATTATATATATGTATTAATGTATATATTATGTATTTTAGAAAACATTTCATTAATACTGTAACTGGTCAAATTTGAAACCAATCTGAAAATGTACATAAAAGTGATAAGAATTATTATAAACATACGTATTTAGTAAAAGATTAATATGACAATATGAATAATCTTAGACATATAAGAAGTGTTAAACTTTCACTGAATATTGAAACTTATTGATATAATGGATTATGACTGTTTAAATACTTCTTTTATATACATTTTCAGAATCGTTAAAAATTTTACCAATATAACTATAGTAGTTGTTACAACAGCTTCCAAATGTTTCATATAATATAGGTAACATGTCCATAAAAGATGTCAAGGTGTATGAACTTGTCACTTTCGTGAGCCATTATAATACCTAAAACCAAATTTTTGAATTTGAATTTGCAAAGGATGAGGAAAAACTCACTCTAAGAGCATTAAGTTTATCTGTTTTTGCAGTCATCAATGCAAGGTCATTGTCTACTCTATCCAATGCTTCAAGAAGTTTATGATTTCTTTCATCTCTTGTACGCTGTTCCTCTAAAAACTCTATATATCTTAAACGTAATCGATTTATACACGCATCATGCCTGAAATGTCAATAATTTCATAATTTCCTAAAAACAAGCTTCTCTTCTCTTTTAAAAAGACGAGATCCATTTTAAAGAATATTATTAGATTATAATATAATCGTAAATATAAAAAAACTTCTATTTTTGTTCACTATGTTTTACTATGTTAACTATGTATACGCTACAGTTTGTTCAATGTCTGCATAATAGAAGGGCATCGCGTGCGTGACATTGGTAAAAGATCATGTCTTTCCTAGATTGTGTACATAGCATATCTATTATATGCATATATAAGTACATATAATGACACTGACTATATCAAAATATCAAGATGCTGTGTCAAATTAAAGGAATGCCTATGTAAATCCTATAAACCTTATTGAATATAGTATATCCGATCGATGTTTACCTAGGTTAAGGTACAGATGTTAAAAGCGCAAAACACGAAATTCACGTTCGGAATCAATTGTAAGATAAAGTTAGTATTGATTGTGACATTTCTCAAAACTAGGTCGCTTCTAAATCAATACATAATCTCTGAAATTCTATAGTGTTATTATTACGTAAAACGAAAATAAAATCGATAATAACAGCTATTTGCCAATTTCGTCTCTAAATATATACTTAATTATTTTTTGGTAGTATACATAGTAAACGTGACAGATCAGTTTATTGCTTCAAGAATATAAAAGAAATTTCGTATAAATATAGAAATAACAGATGATATTTAATGATGATATATTCAATTTTCCTTTAAACACTCACCTATTACGAGATTCTTGTACGAGTATTTTGAATCTCTCTTCTAATCTTATTCTCTCTTCTTCACTGTAACAATCGTTTATAAACATATGCAGTAATCTAAGTTTAAGAATAATAGGCTCATACTTGATTTTTATTGAACTGCAAATCATTATTTTAAGAAATGTGTACTTCACTTACCTCTTTCGCAATTTTTCCTGCAATTCCAGCATTTTTTTATAATAGTCATAATTGTCATAAAATGATGTCATAATTAACAACAAATGTGTGTATATTTAACTTGAAACTAATTCAAAACTCAAAGTTATCGATTGTATCGACGAATTCGATATTTGGCGCATACTACGAAAAATTTTAATAGAACAAATATTTTTTTAAACAATGCTTAGCAAAAGCACGACGCTTCGTAAAGCTAATAAATGTTATATGATATACATATATATAATAAATAAATATTATATTTGTAAAAATAACAAATATTTATGTTATGTAAATATACTTTGTAAAACTATTTCAATCACTCGATGAATAACTAAGACGAGTGATCACTCAATTCATTAAACAATACTTGAAAAGATGTCTTACGTATTATAATGCAATATAAACTCATTTGATTTCGAACGATCATAGCAAGAATAATTGCAACGTTCTTTCTTTGGTTCGGCACTACGAACAACTGTCGTATTTGACGTCGTACAATGGTAGAATTGGGGATGCTACAGCAGGTAAACACGCAGGTGTTGTCCCTACTCCTACTCTAACTCACGCAATAACAAAATATATGTATACGTATATAAAATTATATCATAACGTGATAATTATAAAAAACTGAAATATTTTTTTAAGACAATATTTGCAAGTAAATTAAAATTTTTTTCACTTCTGTTAAAATTACATATACATATATATATGTACATATTAAACGTTACTCATTTTTTTTAGAATAATTTTTATTTCTTGTATGAAAATAAATTTTAATATATACATTAAAAGTACAAGTATAAAAGTAAATTAAGTATTTTTGCTTAATGTAATGTATTAGGAGATTGAAATATAAGTTTTTTTGTAGAATGCTCCTATAATTTTCTCTCCCCCCCTCTCTCTCCCTCCCTCCCTCTCTGTCTATATATATATATATATTATATATTTCGAACATTGTCTATAAATCTTATATAGTTAATAAATTTAAAAAAGAGAGAAATATCTTTTGAATCAATTAGTAAATTGATTTTTCTGATCAAAAAATATGTATTGTTATATATTATTACATTTTTGTTTCTTCTTAAATATTTTTTATTAAAATTTCCTGATTATACAGAATGCAAAAAGACATTCTTAATAAAATTTATGATTTTGAAATGTTAAAGATATATCAGTTTATAAAAATATTTGAAAGAAAAAATAACAATTTCAAAATTTTACTAATAATAATTTACACATGCATTGTACTGTACAATTTGTTAAAATTATATTGTATAATTTCATGGAGTATCTTCACATTTTTTGACATAAACTGCATGTAAATGTTCTTGTAATTCTGTGTTTTCTGTAGCCATACATAACGTATGATGCAGACAGTCTCCAATAAGTTCAAATTTCCTACGAAGCTGCACAAATAATGATTAATTGAATTAAACCTGCTTTTATTAAATTGCTTTTTTATAAATAACTGTACCTCAAGTACTATAGGTGGTTTTGTTCCTTCCGATGGCCTTGCTATTTGAGTAGTTTTCAATTTAATGACTTTATCCTCAAACACTCCTTCTTCTATTGTTGTCACACCAATGTTATGAGACAATAGCATGTAAACTTTATTTGTGTTGGGTATTATTTTCAAAAATCCAACTTCATAATGCAATGGTGTTCTTTCAATGGCCCTCCAACTTCTTGCAGAGTAATTAAACATTGGTTGACCGATAGAGGAAAAAGACATTTCTTCACAATATTTGAAAGTTTTAATTGTTGGAAATTTACCAATTCCAGGATCTTTAGTTCTCCATATTCCTTTCAACCAACTTATTGGTTTGAGTACTTCATTCATTGGTAATATCTTCATGTCTAACATGAGAAAAATACTTATTTAAATAATTATTATATATATATATATTTTATATTATTTTATATTATATATATATATATATATATATATATATATATATATATATATATATAAATTACAGAAACGAAATAGGTACTATTTGCATAATTTGACATAATACTAACCTGTACTATCGTCAGAAATATCTTGCATTTGAAAAGTTTTATATCTTCTATTTTTTGTTGATAATTCAAAATTTGCCTCCCTGTGTAATATTGTAAATACTTTGTTATAAAATGTTTAACAATATTGAAGTATATATATCGTATTTACTTACAATATCGGAAATGTTTCTATTTCATATAACCGTGCGTGGTAAATTATAAGGTTGTACGACATTCGTAATCATCATTTGTACAGTTTACACTTTTAATATATGAAGAATCTGTTAGTTTCTTCGCGAGTTAAATTTTTCCTGAATTATTGTAATAGTTATTAATTTTCGTATTGTATTGTACGTCAGGATAACCTTCAAATTGAATTACATTTCAAAATTTAAGTAGACAAACTAAAGTAAAAAAGTAATTAAATACTGTAGAAATGTATTAAATATTAAGAAATTTTTGAGCAGAGATCAAAATTTAAAAAAAAAAGCCGCGATTTCTACATGATAAAATGGCGACTGCCATTAACAAATTCGAGTAAATTATATGGTATATAGCTGTGTTGTTTAGTAGTTTTTTTTTTGACAATTACGCGATAATTCAATTATTTCTTCTAATTTATAGCATATTAATCGTAAGTTACGTCTTATCTATCTTTTTTTCGAATCTGAATTCTTAGTGATCTATTCTGATTCTAGGTTCAATATATGTAATAGTTATTAATATTTTAAAAAATTGTTTCGTACAAAGTGATTCAACTTCTGTACGTATTTCACATAATGTCACAATTATTTAAAGGAATGACCAATATTTTAATATTGATTTGTTCTCTGTTTACAAATTAAAAAATTAATATGTTTATAATTAATTTCATTAAAGCATAATGTAATGACGATATATTAAAATTAGTGTTAAAGTGATATTTTCAAATAATTGAAAACTAGTTAAGTCAGTTCTAAATATATCATTTCTTATTTAATTAATATATTATTTCTCTATTTCATTTATTGTACATAAGTAAATAAATAAATAAGTATATATATCTTTTTGAAAGATGGCAGTTTCAATCAATGAAATTTGTGAAAATACTAAACTGGCTCGTGAAATGGCTTTAACTGGGAATTATGATACATCTGGAGTTTATTACCAAGGTGTTGTCCAACAAATTCATCGGTTACTTGCAAGCATTGCAGATGCTACACGGAAAGCTAAATGGCAGCTTGTACAACATCAAATTGTTCAAGAATTTGAGAAAGTAAAAGCAACTTCAAATACTTTGCAACTTTTTAAAGTTGATACGCATGGAGAAAGATTATTAGGTATCATCATTTATGAAAAACTCTTAATAAAATTAATAAAATATAAAACAAATTATATTTAGGTAGTTCGTGCTTGTCATTTGAAGAACCTACAAGAGATCCAACTCTGTGGACATATAATAATTCAGACAGTTCATGGAATCAAACACCAGCAAGAGATCCAGATGTATGGCCTCCTTTAACACCTGCTGAACAGAAGTAACTTTATATTTAAATATACTTATTATAGAAATTAGGTTTTTAAATCTCAACCAAATAAAATTAAGTTAATATTTTTAAATTATAGAAACGTTCGACCATTAAAAAATCAACCAAAACAACAAAATCGAATAAGTGTACGAAGATCTGTAACTACTGGGAAAAGGCCAGATGCCAAAATTGCCAAAAAGGATGATAGAAAAGCACCAAGGAAAGATGATGCAAATAAAGTAAATTTTATTTTTATTTTATAATCAATTATGATATAACGTAATAATATTGTAAAACATAAATAATATTTTTAGGAAAAATTGGAAACTGAAAAAGTAGATGTAGAAGTAGAGGAACGGAAATTTGAACCATCTGGAAATGATAGAGATTTGGTTGATTTATTAGGTAGACTATATAATTATATATTAACAGTCTTAAGTAAAATCAATTACTATATATTTACATAAATGTTGCAGAAAGAGATATTGTTCAAAAAAATCCAAATATTCATTGGGATGATATAGCTGACCTACATGAAGCAAAACGATTGTTAGAAGAAGCTGTTGTTCTTCCAATGTGGATGCCAGATTTCTTTAAAGTATATATAAAATTAAAAATTATTTAAAACATATACAAAATTGTTGTATATACTTTGTATTTCTTATAATGAAATGTGATTTATATTTTTAGGGAATTCGTCGTCCTTGGAAAGGTGTACTTATGGTTGGTCCACCAGGAACTGGAAAAACAATGCTAGCGAAAGCAGTAGCTACTGAATGTGGAACAACATTTTTTAATGTATCATCTTCCACATTAACTTCGAAATATAGGGGAGAATCAGAAAAACTTGTTCGTCTTCTTTTTGAAATGGTAATTATAATTAACAATAAAACAATACATGACATATATAGTATTCAATAATATATGGATAGTAAATGTATTCAAACAAAATTATATTTTACTATTTTTTAATTATTTTGTGTGCATTTATGCAGGCCAGATTTTATGCACCTAGCACAATCTTCATTGATGAAATTGATTCTCTATGCTCTAGAAGAGGCTCTGAGTCTGAACATGAAGCTTCACGACGAGTAAAATCTGAACTTTTAGTCCAAATGGATGGTATAAGTTCTAATAGGTAAAGTAATCTTATATAATAAATTTATATCATATAAATTTTGATTATCTCTAATTTTAATTTATATAATTAATTAATTAAAATAAAATGTATTTTCTAGCGAAGATCCAAGTAAAGTTGTAATGGTATTAGCAGCAACAAACTTTCCGTGGGATATTGATGAAGCTCTTCGAAGACGGTTAGAGAAACGTATTTATATTCCATTACCAAATCGTAAGTTCAATTAAAATTCAATAGAAGCAATTTACTTCAATTTTTTAATAATACATTGGAGTATACAGATGAAGGTAGAGAAGCGCTGTTGAAAATTAACCTGCGCGAAGTAAAAGTGGATTCATCTGTAAATTTAGCGGATATTGCAAGAAAATTAGAAGGTTACTCTGGAGCAGATATTACAAATGTTTGCAGGTAAGACAAATATTTTCTATATCCGTATACATATCCGTATACAATCCATATATATATATATCCGTATACAATCTTATGCATATAATACACACGTACATTTTGTATAATTTATGTATAGAGATGCGTCTATGATGTCAATGCGGAAAAAAATAGCAGGTTTAAAACCTGATCAAATTAGACAATTACCGAAAGAAGAACTGGATTTACCCGTATCTGCTGCAGATTTTGATGAAGCTGTTGAAAGATGTAATAAGAGCGTTTCTCAAGAAGATTTAGAAAAATATGAAAAATGGATGAGTGAATTTGGCTCATCTTGATATCATTCTACCCAAAAGATATAATTTCGCAAAAGGTTACTTATTTAGGTGAAGAGTGTTTAAATTTTTTATTTATAATTATTAATAACCAGAATATAGTAATTGCATCATATTTATCAGTACTATATTAATCGATTTTTTCATAATTTTCTAAAAACTATACGATTTTATAATATATTATCCGAAGAAAATTGCGTAAAGTATGTAATACTATAAAATAACTCTTTTATGGAATAATGCAATTTAATATTGTGTTATTATCAGTTGAATTATTAAACTAAAATAGAAAAGATAACATTAAAGTGCTTTTATAATCCATAGATTTTTATTATTTTTATAGTCTGAGTCAGTCATTGTTTAAAGTTTTTACATTAGAATTAATTTAAGCATCTTGACATAAATATACTTTAAAAGTAAAATTAAGAGATGTTGCCTAAAATATTTAATATAATTATTTTTATATTAACAATTTAAATTATAAACAAATCAAATGAAAAGACTACAAAACTCATAAAAAATGTAAAATATGACAAAATTAACATTATTCATTAATTCTACATTTAAATCTAATTAAATTGTTTTTAACAATACAGACTGAAGTATAAAGCTATAATTTAAAAATTTATTGAATATTTTTATAAATGTATAATACGTACAATTATATTTTAGCATTTTATACAAATTTAATTCGTACTAAGGATAATGACTAAATTGCAGATGTTTGTGTAAATTTATGTTTTCACGGACACTGGTAAAATATCTGAACTTAACTAAAAGTATCTTATTTTCCGAATTTTTTTTACCTTTTATACTTTATATATTTTCATACATTTATATTTATCATTTTTACATATTTCCTTTTGATGTAAATACATAAACATCAGCAATTTAATAAAAACATATTAATTATTATCTCTTTAATATATCGCTATGTTTACTATATATTTTTTGGAGCACAACCTTCTTTTCTTAAACGTTTAGTCTCTTCGTCAACATTTTTTGAATCTTTTGGGGCTTTGTAATTTGCTACATGATCAACTCTTATTGTTCTGCCTAAGATCTAAAATATACAATTGTTATTAAAATTAATTAATTTTTGTTCTCAATATGATTAAAAAACTAATAAAAAATAATTTATTTCAAAAATATTCTCACCTTAATACCATTAAAATTATCAACAGCTAATATTGTACTTCTTTGATCCTCGTAACATAAAAAACCATATCCCTTTTGTTTTCCTGTATCTTTGTCCCTAATTAAATTTATATTCACCACTTCTCCATATCTATAATATAAGTACTATAAGTAGTGTATCTATAATATACTTATAAGTAATATAAGTACACAGTTAACATTCATTGAGATTATAAATTATTATTGAACATTTAACTTACTGAGAGAATATAGCTATAACATCACCTTCCGTTAAATCATATGGTAATCCACCAATAAAAATCCAAGCACTATCTTTGTATTGATCATGCCAAGATGTTTTTCTGTCACTTAATAGTTCTTGTTCACCAAGTTTTTGTATATTTTTTACATTCCTAAAAATATGCACAAACAAAGTTATTCTTTCTCTAAATTAAATGATTACATTTTATAAATGAAATACTATAGAAGTACTCACGTTAAAGGATTCATTTTGTACTAAAATAATATATGAAAGTCCTTAATACATATTTTCTAATCAAATACTATATTATACATATATCATATTGTTGATGTTGTTTAACAAACATATAAAATTACTTTAAATAAATTTCAATTTATTTTTATATCGTTTGTTTACGATTATATACAATTATATATGAAAAGTTATTAATATTTTTTATAAAATATATATATATATATACATATATATATATATGTTAATTTGAAAGAAATATGTAGCCACAATACGAATTCACATTCGAAAACATAACCTCAAAAATAATTTTCATTAGTACGAATGATTCAACATAAACATAAAAATAATTATTGAGAAGAAAATAATAAAAGTGTTATTATATTAATAAAAGAAACTGACATGAAATTAATTGAAATAGAATTGTTTAATGCCTGAATTTATTTACTAATTATTAATATAACAAAAAATGACACTGAATCTTACAAAGTTCTGTTCCACGATTTACAGAAAGAATTCCAACTTGAGTTAAGTTACATTATTTCAAATTAGTAAAGTTTAATATATAGAATAAAAACTATGAAAATCAATGTATTTTAAATAAATACAAATGATTCTTAATTCATAAAAAGACGGACAATATGGTTCTACCAACAAAAATGTCACACAAAGTAAACAGAATTTCTTATCACTACCATAATGTTTTTGTTATATGTTTGTTAATGTTTACATTGTTTATAATTTTAATCACGGCATATCATATATTTAAATTTGGAAGTACACAAAAACGCTCCGTATATAATGCAATTGTTCTCAATGATCTGCACTCATTGCCTATTCAAGTAATAGATGCAGATTTTCCAATGGCAGACACTACAAATATATCTTGCACATACTTCAGCTGTTTCAATGTTTATCGCTGTGGCAGTCAAGGGAATAAACTTTTAGTATACGTTTATCCACCAAAAATTTATATAGATTCATCAGAGAGACCTATAACAAGTCAAATAACGAAAGAATTTTATCAAATTTTAAATACCATTATCTCAAGTAAGTTTTACACACCGAATCCATATGAAGCATGTATCTTCATTCCGTCAATTGATACATTGAATCAAAATAGATTAAAATTACAAGAAGTTTCACAAGCATTGAAAGCTTTGTCATTGTAAGTTTCATTTTATTTTGTACATATTTGTATTCCAAAAAACAACATGCATATTTTTACTATATTAAATTTCAGCTGGAATAATGGAGAGAATCATTTAATATTTAACATGGTACCTGGAAGTGTACCTGATTATAATACAGTCATTGATGTACCTGTTGGGAAAGCAATGATCGCGGGTGCAGGAATGTCATCATTAACATATAGATCTGGCTTTGATATTAGTTTACCAGTATATAGCCCTCTTGTAAATAATCTTAAACCGAATTTTAATAATAAAAGGTACTAAAATGCTTATACATCTATTTTTATCTATTTAAAATAATAAATACTTTATTTTAGACCATGGTTAGTTATTTCATCTCAAATGAACATTAATTCTGCTTTCGAACAAGATTTATTAGAAGTTAAATCTATGTCACCAAAGGATATTTTAATATTAGGAACATGTCTGCATTATAGTTCTATGAACAGTGCAATCAGGTGCGCAGGAGAAGAAGTTTATAAGTACCCTAATGTGCTTCAAGTATGTAAGATTGTAATACTCACTATTAAACAACATCTTTTTATTGTATTATACAAAGTTAAAACAACATCTTTTTATTGTATTTATTGTTGTTAGACAGCAACATTTTGTCTAGTAATTCGAGGTGCAAGACTTGGTCAGAGTACGCTTTTAGAATGTATGGCAGCAGGTTCTATACCTGTAATCATAGCTGATTCTCTTATAATGCCTTTTCATGGTACAATTGATTGGACGAGGTAAAAACTAACCGATTGCATATTAACCCCTGTGAAAAAATGTTGAACCAATTATATTTTTTATTTAGAGCTGCTATATTCATACGTGAAGTCAACATTTTATCAGTGATATCAGTTTTAAAAAAGATATCTCAGCAACGAATTATAGAACTTCAAGAACAGGGTGCATGGCTTTATGAAAAATATTTCATGTCCATGGAAAAAATAACAGAGACTACATTGGAAATACTTGCAGATCGTGTATTCTCACATTTAACTAGAGATTATACATTTTGGAACATACCACCTCATAAGGAAAGTATAACTTATAATAATTAATAAACTGTTAATAAATCAAATAATAATTTTATAATTTTATTGTAAATATAGGATGTTACATCTCCATTGTTTTTACCTATCACTGTGCCAAAAACTCGAGGATTTACTGCTGTAATTTTAACATATGATAGATTGGAATTACTATTTCTTTTAATTAATAAACTTGTTAAAGTACCAAGTTTGTCTAAAGTTCTAGTTATATGGAATAATCAACAGAAAGATCCTCCACATTGTAAATTTTAATTAATTAATATTGTTTAATTTTACTATTTAATTTGATTGATTTTTAAAGATTTTTTATATATTGCAGCATCTAGATGGCCAAAATTGAATAAACCATTAAAAGTTATACAAACAAAGGAAAATAAACTATCTAATAGATTTTATCCATACAATGAAATTGAAACTGAAGCAGTTCTATCAATAGATGATGATATCATTATGTTAACTGCTGATGAAGTAGAATTTGCTTATGAGGTACGCCCACTGCATTTATTAGATAATTTCTAAAAAAAATCATGTAAAACTAAAAAAGAAAAAAATAATGAATATAAATATAATTATTAGGTATGGAGAGAGTTTCCAGACCGAATAGTTGGTTTTCCATCTAGAATTCATATGTGGGATAATGGAACAAACTGTTGGAAATATGAAAGTGAATGGACCAACAGTATTTCTATGGTTTTAACAGGAGCAGCATTTCATCATAAAGTAATGTAGCATTAGAAAGATGTATAGCTCAACATTTTTTTTATTTCAGACATCTTGGATTTGTTATTCCTTCCCAAAGAATATTTCCAACATAAATTTCCTGTTTTCCTATATTCCTGTTTCTTGGAAAAATTAGGTACAATTTAGATTTTATTTGTAACTAAATATATTACATTATATTAATATCTTAAATAACATTTCAGTACTGGAATTACATGTATACCACTGCTATGCCCGGTGATATAAAAGAATGGGTTGACGAACATATGAACTGCGAAGATATAGCTATGAACTTTTTAGTAGCAAATATCACAAAAAAAGCGCCAATAAAAGTAAGTTAATATTTTTTAAATTTTTAATTTGAGATATATAATATGTTAACTACTTAATGTATTACAGGTGACACCAAAAAAGAAATTTCGATGTCCAGAATGCACAAATACTGAAATGTTATCAGCAGATTTAACGCATATGGTAGAACGTACACAGTGTATAAATAGATTCTCTTCTATTTACGGTTCAATGCCATTACAATCAGTTGAATTTCGAGCAGACCCCGTTTTGTTCAAAGATATATTTCCCGAAAAACTTAAAAGATTCAATGATATTGGAAGTTTATAAGTATTTGTTTATTTTAAAATAAAAAAATTTTTTTATTGAAAATTTATTTATTATTAGGTTAAATTTGATTACTATATTTATAAAAATAAGTGAAATAAATGATTTATTGAAATTTATCTAAGTTTATTATATCAATATATAGAATGTTACGTAAATAATTTTTTAAAACAAAAGCTTTTTGTTATAGAAATCTTATTTTCGAAAAATGTATTTATTTGAGAATCTCAAAATTTTTTCAAAGAAAATGATTGGTCTTATATTTGTAAAAACTATTTTAGTTTTTTCATTAATATATTAATGGAATTTAAAATATGTATAAATTATAAGAATTAAAAATATAAATGTTATTTAATAGTTTATTCTCTACTAATTTCTGATTTTCAATGTAGATATAACACATTATAATTTCTGCATATAACTTCTTAATCTTCATATCAAAATTATAAAATTATGTATTATATTATATTGATCATAATTTTTTTACAACATAAAAAATACGAAATCATTTATAAAATTTATACATCTTATAAAATAATATCGTGTCACATGAGTCATAAATTTATTGATGTATTATGTAATTTTAAAACAAATTCCTTCGACAATCGCTTTCTTGCCAACTTCATGAGGTGGAAGAACAGCCATGTGACTCTAAAAAAAATTTGAAGATATTTATATTTCTTTAAATTTAAAGACGTTATTTATATTATTTATTTTGAAAAATAAACAAATGTACCATTGGTGTCTGTTCATTCGAGTTCATGTAACCTATTATCATTGAATTTGTAGAATGACTCCAAAGGAAATCTCCTACTCCTTCTTGAGGGGCATATCGAATAGCAATAACACCTCCAAGTTTTTGTTCAAGTCCACACAAGAATTTCGAATCTAAAACAAATGTTTATCAATTTACAATGATAAACCGTTAGTTTATCCTTCTTAATACAAAAAATTTTTTTGATTATTTATTAATACTGAAAAGTATTAATAAAGTAGTTACGAGTTTTCACCGATAAAATCAGCTTTCATAGAATGGTATAAGTTGGTAATAGGACAAGTATTATGTGATATGGCTTCTGCAATTGTTCGTGCTAGCAAAGTGCGAATGAGATGTTCTCCACAGCCCGAGGTGCTTGTTCCTATAGAATACTTGTCTTTATAAGCCCATGTTCCACATCCCCACATTCCTGCCTAATTCGTAATACATCATTATGTCTATTTATAAAATGTTTATAACTAATGTTAATGAAAAAAAAAATACTATACTTGTCCTACTCTTCCTGGATATTTTAGAATGATACCACCACTAGAACAAGCTCCGGCAATATTTCCTTCTTTATCAACACATACTGCTCCGACTGTATCCATTCTTTGTTTAGTATACTAAGTCATTAAATTAATTTAAAATTAATAATTGGAATTATTAATTATAATTGGAATAATGTACAAAGATATTAAAAAAATAATTTACCTTATAACTCTCTGCATTAGAATCTTCTATTTTCCTTTTATAATGTTTATATATCTTCCGTGCTTTTGCTAGAAATTATAGTAAAATATTATCAAAATTAATGAATATATAATATATAAATATATATTATTAATATAACAAATAACATAAATATATTATCTATAATATGTACATATAAATATAAAAAATGTTTATTAATTATACAAATATTAAATTTTTTAAAATTTTTGTGTAATTTAAAAACAACATATAATCAAAGTGAGTGGAAAATCAGATACAGTAAAAATGTGCTATATTTTATATCAAAATTTAATGTTAAGTCTAACTTCATTTCAAAACTAAAATTGTGGATTATTAACCCTTTGCACTGCTTTGTTGAGTGTGACTCGAATCAGTTGTTATCACAGGAACTCTTATATTGAGTCACACTCGATATTTTTAAATTGCTAATTGCCAAAAAAAACAAAAAAAATTGAAAAATAGTTTGGAGTGCAAAGGGTTAAATATAGAAGTTGACAAAAAAAGTTCAAGATAGATAGTTTAGAATAATATTCACTAATCGGAAAGAAATCTAAATAAACATTAACCAAAAAATTTCATTCAAAAAACGAATTATTTTATCATTTCTTCTATTCATAAAAAAATAAAATAAAAGGTCTTCCTTTAATTTATTCATAATTATGGAGATTACATTACACCTTTAAGTTAATATCTAAGTATTGTCTATTTTGAAAATCATTTTCTTTATTACTCAATTATGTATAATATTCAATAATAACTTATGTATAATATTTTACTATCACAATATTTAGACAATAAATAGCTAACGTTAACATATATATAAAAAAATAAAGATGTTAAATTAAATTTTACATACCTGAAATTAATTTTTCTGGAGATAATGGCTGTATTCCCATTTCTCGTGCCCATACATGTGCACCATTCCCAACTAAGAAACTGATATTAAAATTGCATTTATTTGTTTCTATTAATATATTAAAAATTTTTTTTTATTTTTTACTTCAAATCTTTATATTAATTTTAATAAACTTATAAAAGAGATGTTATCACTTTTGATGGAATTTATTTCAATCATTTTGTTTGCACATATAAACAATAGAAAAATTAAAAAGATGAATGGGCAGACCCAGATGACTTTCGAAAATATAAAAATCATCCACAAATTTCGAAAAATGGAAAAAAACTTTAATATAAAGTAACACTGACATTCTTGTTTTGATAGGATTCTTAATACCAATAATTTCATATGCAGTAGCGTTGTCAAACTTGATTAAGATTTCAATGAAAAACTGTAGATATACATTAATGAACAATTTACATTAAAAGTACAATGTTTTTTTTTATGAACACTATGAATTCTTAAAGTTTTCTCATAGTTTTCTATTCTTTTAATAAAGTGAAACAAATTTCATCAAAATTAAAAATGTAGCCTATTCTGTTTAAATTGATCATAGCATTTAATATTTACCTGGGTGGAATTCTGCCATATGCAATTTTAATTGACTGATGTTCACAAATTCGTTTTGCCAATAAAACAGGATTCTTTATTCCGCTAACTGCGCCAACTGCTCCGAATTGTAATGTAGCACCATCCATTACACTTGCATCGCATTCTACTGTTCCTTCCAATGTAAGATTGGACCCAAATCCAGCATTAGTTAAGGGAGAGTTTTCCAATACTATTACAGTTTCAACTACAGCATCTAATGAACTACCACCAGACTTCAAATTCTGTATACCCTTTAAAAATATTTTCTTGTTATTATCGCGTGATATATTATGATACATTAAAGTAAATAAAAAATAAAACTAACTTACAGCCTTGCATGCTTGTCGGCATAGTTTCTGATAGTTCTCTTTAAGAGCTTGCGAATGTCGTCCTGCCCCTAATAAAACATACATTACTATAATGTTAATAATACAAAAATCTTATTCAACTACAATATGTATTTATTTAGTTTCATCGTAACTATGTTCAAATATATGTATTATTGTATGTATATATTTCAAACAAATAACATACCCACATGAACGGCAATAAATCCTTGATTACCATCAGTCATTACATCTGAATTTTTGCTATTGCTGAATCTCTATCTTTTTAATCACAGCTCATAAAATATATGTTTTCTGTATTAATTGTAAATATGTAACTATCTTTAAATCAGATTAAAAATTTAATATGTCTAAATCTTAACATATATATGATAATACTATATATCAAATTAGATATGATCTTTCTTTTAGTAACGATTATAAACAATTACAAGATTCTACACTAACTGAAGGATGAAAAAAAAAACAATAATATAGTTATCTATAGATATAAAGCACAAAGTTACGTTTAAAAACATACATACATGTAAACTACATATGTAACAGAAATGTTATACAATTTATTATGTATATTTTTTAGTAACTCTGTTATACAAAAATAATGCAAAATATACCTTACAAATGTTATTACTATTTATGACAATATGAACGATTCAAGTTAAGTTTTATATAAATAAATTTGAAACGATAGTTGTGTATTTGGTGTTCATCTGAGACCTTTTTTTTTTGGTGCCTATGGAGAAAATAATTCTTCTCTTTTCGAAAATTATGCTTAACGGTTTTCCTTTGTGAACTCAGATTTTTATGATTTAATGATAAATCGGATTCCATTCAAAATTTTCATCTTGTAAGATAGATAGGCGTAAATATATTTCGCCATATTACTCAGCAACATTATACATAACACACACACACACACACACACATATCACTTCAAATTAGAAAAGGAAAAGTATAAAGCTTGACCAATAAATTAAGTATTTGGAATACTTTTGAAGGATCACACGTATTTTAATCAAAGCTGCACAGTTTACTGTGTATAGCAATTAAATTCTAGTTTTCCAGACAAGATATTTTCCTTGAATTATTTTTGTACGGAACAGATGCGTTTCGCATTGTACGTGCAAAAGCTATCTTAAATTTCCCGCCAAATTTGTATCGATATCGTCGGACGCCGAAACATTAAAGCTAAGTTTACGCAGTAGCTCGACAAAGTAAAGCAATTCAAATATATAGTTCTTGAAAGTGACACCGAATGGCGTAAATTTTTCCACAAAATACGCGGGAGTTGTCAATCCATAAGTTACATTAACGTCAATGGAATTGGACACAGTGTATCAGTATCTGCTGTGTTTAAATTTGGACGTGAAGTATGTAACGCGTGCATCTCTTTTTTATGTTTTCCTGACTATTGCAAAATTTATAATACCGGTTCTTAACATAAAATCCCCGTTTCTAGGATAAAATGTCAAATTAATACCTTTCTTCATGCTGTACGTAACCATACTTCTATTTACGTGTGAATCATTTTCATAGTTTCTTTTACGTTTGTTTATTTTGATACTAAAACACTTTAAATAATTACGGAGGTTATTTCAGGTTATATGGATTAACAATTTTAACACAGCTGTTATAAATTCCAATTTTATGCGTACCTACGCATGCATATATGCATACATACACATATATATACATGCATAAATTCATATATTGTAAGTATTAACACTTTCTTTTCTTACGTGTTAAATTCTTACCTGAACACTGAACTATTATGTTATTTCATATATATATATTACACATTATTTCATCACATTAACTAATGAAAATTTGATAAAATTTTTAAGATCATACTGAGATAGACACTGGAGGACACTACTATTTACAATATATTGAATGGCCATATTAGTAAAAAACATTTGGACTTGGTGCTATAGGCAATTGTTTCTTTACAACAATCATGTTGATATTCGACTTTTTAAAAAAATTTTTTGGATGGGTAGATGAAGCACCTAGAAAACGCAGGGCTGTTTCATTTAGTCTGGAAAAAGAGTTTGTTGCACCCAAGAAACATCGTTGTGATTACAAGACGATCAACGTAGAGGATGAAGAGTCCATTGAGATTAAAGATGACAGCGATGACGATGTTCAAGTTATTAATAAACATAAATATTCTCCTATTAAATCATCTAGTAAATTAAATGGTACATGTGACAGTAGAGAGTCACTTAAATGTTGTTCATCAAATTTCTCATCGCCTCCATGTTATAAGAAAGTAAACATGGGTCATTCCAGTAACAAAACCGAAAGGATACAAAATGCTGGAGTGCAACAATGTTCAACATTATTCAAAACTCACCGTTTAAGAGAAAAGAATCAATATGAAGAGTTATTACAAAATTTTCTCCCACGTAGGATACATGTAATATGTGATAAACATGAAGATAAAAGATCTACACAGGAACCAATAGAAGTAATAGATTTAGAAAAATCTACTCCTTCTACTTCCTTTCCCAAAGTTCAGTCAGCTCCTAGAAAACATGATAGAACGTTACAAATGCATTGGAGTAATCCGGTTAGAGAAAAGAAAGACAAAGAAACAATTATTAATTTAGATAATGATGAAAAAGAAGAGACAATGCATTTCATTCACGACAGGGCGCAAGCTTACAAAAAGAATGTGATGCAAGAGAAATCCGTAAAAAATAAATGTGTTGAAAGTGTAGCAACAAATACATTAAGAGATAGATTATCATCAAAAGCTGTAATAAGAGAAGATTTCGTCCCCCAAGTAGCTAAACGATATAACGAACGAATTGAACAACGTTACAAAGAAGCAGAAGAGCTTAAAAAAATGACCTGTGTTTTGTCTAAACATAATCGTTTAGCAAGAGAAGCTGCTTTGGAAGAACATCTAGCCCGATCTATGAGATTATGTGAAGCTGTTTTAGAAGAAAGAGAAGAATCAGAAGAACCAGAATTACCCACATTAACAGAAGAAATGCTACAAGATGTAAAAAATGCTCTTATTCCTCGACCTGCGGATGAAGTTCTTGTTGAAGGATTTGGTTTAAGAATAACAAGAAAAGATATACATACATTAGCTGATTTGAATTGGTTGAATGACGAAGTAATAAATTTTTATATGAATTTATTAATAGCCAGAAGTACTAATGACGACAAATATCCAAAAATACATGCTATGAATACATTTTTCTATCCAAAATTAGTCTCAGGTGGACATTCATCCTTAAGAAGATGGACTAGGAAAATTGATATTTTTGCACAGAATCTTATAGTTGTTCCTATACATTTAGGTATCCATTGGTGTATGTCAATAATTGATTTTAGAGATAAGTCTATTCGTTATTATGACAGCATGGGAGGCAACAATTCAAAGTGTTTGTCAGCACTACGACAATATCTAGAAGATGAAAGCTTGGATAAAAAGAAACAAACTTATAATACTAGTAACTGGAAGTTAGAGTGTGCCAAAAATATCCCACAACAAATGAATGGAAGTGATTGCGGAGTCTTCTCTTGTATGTTTGCTGAATATATTTGTGCAAATAAAAAGATCACGTTTACTCAACAGGATATGCCATATTTTCGAAATAAAATGATTTACGAAATATTAAAGTCCAAGCTTTTATAAAAGAAATATTATTTATTTAGACAACAATCAATAAGTCAAATAGTTTACAACTTCCAAAAATTACAGAATATTTTAGCATAAAAGAGTTTATTATTGAACAAAATATTCTGAAGGCAACATTTATATTCAAAAAGTAATATTCATATTATCATAATGTTAAAAAGCGTTGCACAGTATAATTTTTTGTATTGTTTTCATTTAAAAATAAAATGTTAATTTTTTCCTATGTAAAAAAATAGTAATTTCTAAATACAAGTTAACAAATGTAATATTACTTACAGTAATATTTACATTTATTTCTTTTAATAAAAATATGCAAAAATTAAATTTAATAACAAAATTCATCTATGAAAAAAAAGTATAATATTTAGCTATTGCACATTCTTTATTAAAAAATATGGAAATGCAATGTATTATAATGCTTGATTTTGAATAAATGTAAAATTTAAGAACTTACGTACTAATATAGTTTATGTTTGAAACTATTTATATAATAAAACATAAGTTTTCTAATTATAGTTATAGTACGTTTATTTTATAAACACCTTATTTTGATATCCACTGTAAATTTGATCTATCAAACTATATGTATAAATATTTATCCATAATTTATTATTATATACATGTGCTGGTTTTGTAAAACTAGCATTTGTGAAATTTCTTGAAAGAATTTGAAGAAATAGCTGCAAATACCAACGTATTTCATGAATCTGATTCTTGTATAAAATCAAAGTTCACAAGAACATAATTGGTAATATTTAATACATAATGCGTATGAAGATGCTTAATATCTTTTTATTTTACTATACTTGTAAATTGTTAATTCACAAAATAGATTTTCTTAGTTTGAAAATAGGATATTCTTTTATTATTACTCTAATTAACATTTTAAAAATAATTTATTTTTGCTCAGTTTTATACAGCGTATTTTTTTTATAGATTGATTGCTTCATCTATATAAACATCAGATATGTTGAATATGATATCAAATATTCCAGTTTCAATGATCGTTGAAATTGTAATACGAGTATTTTAAAAATAAACGAAAATTACTGGATCTAACAAAAAAAACAATAGTAAAAGAATTGGTCATAAATTCAAAAAAGAAATGTAGCGGCTAGATTGTTAAAGACAAATAGATTTTTAGGAAAGAAGATAAGGTAGGAATATAAAGGACGTTGATGGTGTAATACGTTTCGTCTCAGAGTCGCCCCCATACTCATCAATGGTACTGATGGCCCCTACATGTCGCTACAGGCACTGAAATACTAGCATTACGTAGCGATGAAACGGTGGAACTAATTTGTATTGCCGTCCTTGTCGCACGCTATTACTCTCCTTGTCTACCGCTCAAGTGTGTCTCTCCTTGTCGCACGCTATTGCTCTTCTTGTCTACCGCGCGTATATAACTATCCTTGTCACATGCTATTGCTCTCTTTGTTTTCCGTGCGAATATCTCTGTTCTTGTCACACACTATCGCTCTCCTTGTTTGCCGCCCGTATACGTCTGTCCTTGTCACACGTTAATGAAGCTAGACAAGGAAAGCAACAGCGTGCGACAAGGACATGCTTCGATCTATTGAAAAAAAATTCAACTTTTTACACACACGTTTTTCTAGGACAAAACACACATAGAAAGAAAGCGGGGAGCCTAATTTTAAAGAGGCATGTAAAAAAGTTTGGAAATTATTCCTCCTAATTAGGTTTTTTTCGTAATTAGTGGGAACTGTCACAATATGGACATGGTGGCGCCATCTAGCGGTAACTCAGTGGTACTAATTATTTATAAAAATACTTATTTCTGCATTTTACGAGTCAAATGGGGTATGAAAAGAAAGCTAAGGGTCTAATTAAGGTAATACAATCACAAAAGTTCACAATTCATTTCGCTAAATTAGGTTTTTTCGCTTATGAAGATTTCTGTTTTACCGGGTAAGAAACACTAGCGTCGCGTTGTGGGAAACCGATGGAACTAAAAGCTCTATAACCATATAAGTAGAATAATTAATTATATTTTCCACGTCACAACGAGCATGTATTTCAATGATAATGCTATCAATTACGTTCGCAAATAAATCTGAATCTAATATTCACTATAGTTTGCGAGAAGCACTACTAACGTAAACGAAATTAAAACATTCTTTATATGCCTAAGCTATACTTAAACAAAACAAACTGAGAGTCTCTAAAATCGATGACGCAACCATAACAGCTCACAAATAATTCCTCTTAATTAATTTCTTCTTGTAATTTGTGCAAAAACAGTCACCTGTCAATGTTTAGTGTAGGAACCTGGAGTGGATAACATAGAATCCTACCACAGGTTCACATACAAATAATTAGACTCGTAAATTCTTTGATAGTTTTATATATTTCTAGTCTTTGGATTTTATCACAGCACTTACAATATTCTTACACACTCGGAGTCGTAGTATTGATAGCGGTGGAAGAAGGACTTTATGAGATTATGAGACTTACGCGTTGTCTACTGCGTTACCGAGGCATGTAAGAAGGACTTTGACTCTTCGCAACCCGGTTTTATAGCCTCGGCTTGCAAAGAGGGGGAAAATTCTTTTCCCGCGTTTTTCTTGTTTTTCCGGGTTTTTTATTTTTGCTATGGAAAAGATGTCGCTGGCTGCTTCATTGGAAACGCACCTTTCGACGGAAGGTTTTAGCCGATGTACGTGGCGCTGTCTTTCATTGCGCGGAGGTAGCGGTCGCTACATTAGTGTAGCGATCTATAGTCCTTCGAGTACGAGTTTCGAACACCAACTTGTACAAGTCGCAAGTGGCTGTGCGCCTAGCGTCGAAGTCAATCGATATTCAATGTGAAGCAAACAGAGTGCGGGAACACCGCTAGGATGGGGATGACCGTGCAACCTAGCGAGTAGTTGTTGTTAAAACCAGTTGTTTACCCGGTCTGGGGTAACAAGGGGTCGCTGCCATCAGCCACACTGATAAGTCTAAGCAGCGACTCTGAGACGAAACGCACAACCTTTTTCCTCACCTTACCACTTCCTACATTATCCTCGCATCATCATCAAAACTTTCAATTCCTTCATTAGTATAGTGATTATGATAATTTATATTTATATCATAATACTATAAATAAATAATAACTCCGTAATTAATTTTAGTTGTTTATATAAAAATATTATCAATATCACAAAATATACAAT